CACAGGGACACTGAGTGGGAAGCAGAGTTCCCATGCCCCCCTCCCCGCCCCACCCACACGCAGCCTCCCCCCCCCCACCCCCCACAATGAACCGCTCACACTGGACGGAACTCGTGTTACCAGGGATGAGCCCGCACCGGCACATCACCATTGCCCTGAGCCCGTCGCTTACATCGGGGTTCGCCCTTGGTGCTGTGCCTTCCGTGGGTTTTGACAAATGCAGAAGGACATGTGCCCGCCACTGCGGTGTCTCACAGAGCAGGGTCACCGCCCCAAACAGCCCGTGTGCCCTGCTTGTTCATCCCTCCCTCCCTCCCCAAGCCCCCGGCAACCTCTAACCTTCCACCTGTCCCCACAGTTTTGCCTTTCCCAGAGCGTCAGGTGGTTGGAATCAGGTTTTTCAGTTGGGTTTCTTCCACTTAATATGCATTTACGTTTCCTGCGTGTCTCTCCATGGCTTGCTAGCTCATTTCATTTCTTTCTGGTGCTGAATCGTCATCACCCACTGTCTGGATGGACCACAGCTATTTTTCCATTTGCCTGCTGGGGACCTCTTGGTTGCTTCCAAGTTTTGATACTTATGAATCAAGCTTCTAGAAAGATCCAGTCCTTCCCACAGGTGTGTAAGCATCCGCCACCACACGCATGAAGCCGTTTGTGCTCTGGCTCCTGTCCCTTCCTGCTCTTCACGCCCCCCTGGTCTCCTGACCTGCTGCACATGCTGCCCCCACCCCCCTTTCCATTCTCTGAGGTTCAACTTCAATGTCACCTCCTGGGGAAAGACTCCACTGCAGAGCTGCTGCCAGCGACACAGGGCCTTGACTCCATGAGGAAAAGGTGCCCTTATCTTGTGGGGTCCCCTGTCCCCTTCTCTCCCCGACAGTTCCCGGCCCTTCGGATGGGCCTGCGGGTTCACTCACTTCCAAGTCAGGGAGGGGGCCTGGGCCGGGCTGGGCCCTCTCTCCGCTTCCACAGGCTGATCTCCCAGGGAAGGGCTAGTGCTGTAAGGTCAGTCTCAGCGGGTGGGGCGGGGCACCGTGTGTAAGAGGATGCAGTCTTTGGGATTAAACTGCAGAGCTTCCTTGGATGGGCGGGGTGATGGGAGGGACAGCAGGGCGGGGCCTGCTGCTGACCACAGGGAAGGACAGAGAAGCGTCCCTCAGGAGTGCGGAGCCCGGGCTCCCTCTCCATGCCAGTCCCTTCGGTCTGGGTGGGACATGCTCTCCCCTCTGTCTGGGTAGGAAGACCCGATCCCACCGTGTGGCCTGCTGCCCGCCGCTGCCCCAGCCAGAGCCGTGCTCTGACCCCACCGACGGTCGGCAGGGCTGGAAACGGTGACGTGAATGGGAATGGAAACCGCAGGGAAGGTTCTCAGGGCTGCAGAGCGTGCGCACGGCTGCTCTCGGGGCTTTTGCAGGGCCTGTAATGCCCGAAGGTGACACTGTCTCAGGGTGTTTAAAACTCACTCCTGCCCTCAGACCCACCAATTTTTGTTTGGGAAAAGGGTGGCAGAGATGACAAAAACATGGGAAGATGCCGCCTGAGTTGGCCTGAGGAACTGCATGGAACAGAGCCAGCCCCCTGGACAGCTCTGCGTCCCCTTCGATCGGAGGAGCGGAGGGCCACCGAGGACGGGGAGGACGGAGACGAGGGGACCGGCAGGCGGCAGGGCGAGGTGGGGCTGGCAGAGAGCGTTCCTAACACTCTGATTCTTACGCTCTCAGAGCAGCGGCCCATCGCAAACACGATTTACTTTAGAACTCTAAACGTCCTATCAATTCTTACTGACAATTCTTGTGAAATAACACACACAAGCCCTTTTCCTGATGCTGCTAGGACACTGTCCCCGTCCCCAGAGGGCCACTGTTTAGAATGAGGTGCAAGGCTGGGACGGCCCCGCCCAGGTGCCTGTCCCCACGCCCAGGTGCCTGTGCCCACGCTGGGCTTCCGTCCCTGCTCTCAGCTGCTCCTGGGAGTGGAGCGGCCAAGGCTTCCTTGCCTGGAGAGCCGAGCGTGTGTTTGTCCGGAACCTCTGGCGCCCGAGCAAGCCTGCCACCGCCGATCTCCCGGGAACCGCGCCGGGGTGGTGACGCGGTAGCTTGCGGAAGCCCCTTTGCTCAGAGAACCCACCTGAGCCAGGTGTGCCTGCCGGGAAGGACCCGGGAACGTGAAAGTCCCCAGCAGGTGTGCTCTGAGGGAGGAGAATACAAGCGTTTTTACAGGGCCACGCTGGGCCCCCTTGCCATCCCTGTCATCCTGGCCTAAGAAGAAACACCACGCATCTCCCGTGTCTCCTTTCCTTCCGCTCGTGGCGGATGCAGGTGCCAGGACACCAGCTGGCTTGACCGGCAGAGCCAGGAGCCACAGTTCTGGTCACTGTCACTGCCGTGTGCCGTCTTAGGATGTGGCTGCTGGCCGGGGGGTCAGAAGGCGGGGGGCTCGGCCCTCTCCCGACATTACCTTCCGGAGAGGCTCTCCCCACCCCCGGCAGCCCATCCTCCCCGGGCCTCGCTGCAGAGCAAGGGACCCGAGAGCGTGTGTCTCCGCCAGAGGGCTGACACCATCCCCTGCGGGACCCGCGTGCTCTGTGGGAGGTGCTGACTGCAGAAGGCTGTTTGCCCTCGAGGAGCTCACCTTCACCTTCACGGAGCCGCGGTTTCCACTTCTATCTCCCAGGACCCCCTCTCCCTTCCCGGAAGCAGGAGTGGAAAGTGGGGGCATCAGGGCTTTCCCTGGCTGACCATGTCCTCCTCCTGGCGGGTGGCCGCCCGCCCAGGGGCCTGGGTGAGGTGCAGGGAAGGACTCGGCCTGAGGGTCTGGGCTCCTGCGTCTTCCACGGCCCGGCCCCCCCCCTCTCCCGCCCTTGCCTGGAGGAGAAATTGGGGTGCGGGTGGCGCATCTCGAAGACAATTTGGGGCACAAGCCCGACCCCAAACGCACACAAAGGTGCTGGGGAAAATCGAGAGGAGCTGTGTGACGTACGGAATCGACGGTGCCCATTCATTCCTTGGCTCGCTGACCGGATGCCTGGGAGGTGTTAGGCTACGTGAGGAGGCAGACATGCACTGTTGTCCTCTAGGAGGTCAGAGGCAGCAGCGGCAGACACACACACAGAGAACAGCCAACGTGACAGAGGGCGGGGGGTGAGCTGCTGAGCACTCCCCAGCGGCGGAGTCTTGAGTGGCAGAACTTTACCACGGGAAAACGGTTGGGGGGCCGGGAGGGAGGGGCCTTCCCATCAACGGGTCTGAGCCAGGGGGTCTCTTTGGGGACCCCCGGCTGCTGTACCTGGTGGGTGGGAAGGGTGCAGGGTGAGGGGCTTAGAAAGTGGTGTGTCTGGTCACCGACAGGCTTGTCAGCCAGGCAAGGGTCTGGAGGGAGCCCCCAGAGGGGGTCGCTGGAAGTGTGAGGGGGGGAGTGGCAGGAGCAGGTGTGGGGCGCAGCGGGCGTTGTCGCTGTGGCTGCAGACTGACCCCGTGCTGGGCCGGGAGGCCCTGCCACACTGCCACACCGCAGCCTCCAGGACCGAGAGCCAGGGGAGGAGCTAGCTCCCCGCTCAGAACGGAAGGAAGCTAACGGGGCACCCCCACAGGGTGGCGGAGGAAGAAGGGGCCGTGTGGATGAGCGCGGGGAGAGTGAAGAAGCATCAGGAAGCCGCAGACGGAGGCTTAGTGAGCACCTGGACGCACGGCCTGGGGAGGGCAGGAGGGCAGGAGGGCGGGGTAGGCGAGGGCAGTGGGCAAGGTGTCGTCTTCAGAACTGAGGATGCGGGAGGACATCTGGGTCGAGAAGATGAGTTCTGTTTGGGGGGGTCTCTGGAGTGTCTTCCTTTTAAAATAAGAAACAGCTTTCCCCTCTGTACACAAGTCATTTGTTTCACTGCCATTTGCTTTGTTGCAAAAAAAAAAAAAAATCAGGACACACAGAAAAGTATTTAAGTAGATAAAGATTCCTCTTAATTCTGCTATCCTGAGATAGTCCATTAACATACTGGTGAACATTCTCCCAAATCTTTTTTCTGCGATGTACAATTTTTAAAAACAATAGACAATACAGTTTCTAGAACATCTGGTGCTCAGCAGTACCCCGGGCCAACATACTCAGAGCTGCTGGGGGTTGGAGACCAGGCCCCCGTGTTTTCGAAGCTTCCCCGGTGACGCTAATGCACAGCCCGTGTGGAGAACCGGTGGGCACCCTGGGGACAAGGAGGGCCAGAGAGGTGAGCTCGGGCAGCCCCTGGTGGTTCCAGTCCATTCCTGAGACTCCAGAGAGAACCCCGAATCCATGGAATAGCACATAAGAGGGACCAGAAGCATTCTGGACTCCTACCCAGTACAGAGCTAACCACGATTCCAAGGGCTGGGGAAAGACAGTGTTCTCAGACCTGCTCTCGCCCCATCCACGCCTCGCCCCGGGTGACGGACAGATGGGGGGCATCTCAGTGTCTGGATGCTCAGATGACTGCACTGACCCCTCAGGGCTCGGGCTCCGGAGCTGGTCACCAGTACTGGGGACGCCGGTGGTCACAGGGCCAGGCTGACCTCGGGCACCGGCAGGAAAGGGACTGCGCACCCTCGGAACGGGCCTCCCCTCTCAGAAGGGAAAACAGAGCCTCCGGTCCCGTTAGAGCCCCGTGTCCGGGAGCGGTGAACACAGACCGGATGCCAGAGCTTGCTCCAAACACGTTCCGGTGACCTCCTGTTCTCACGTGCAGGGAATAAAGAGAGGCGTGTTTGTGCGTCTTGGGTGACAGCATCTTGCCCTTTTAGGGTGTCTCACCGAGCATTAGTTCAACCAGGCGCTGCGGTCAATACTTCCATCACCGAGGGTCACCACGACAAGTTCAGGACGTGCACGGAAACACGGCCATTGACCTTGTGTACCTCGTGCAAGCCGGACCCTTGGACCCCGGAGCGAACGCATTCCCAGCAGGAGCAGCAGGCCCGCCCCCGCCCCGCGGAGGGGAAAGTCTCCAGTCAAAGGTCCTCAGAGGAGGAGGAGAGCCGGGTGAGGCTGGGAGGGGGCAGCGCGTGCTCGGGGGTGATTAACAGTTTGGCTTTGGCCTCCTCATGCACAGGGGCCTCATCTGTTCCTCGTTTTCTCTCTGGCCAAAGCGACCGCATCCGATGTCCCGAAGGAGAAGGCTGGAAATTTTTTTGCAAGCCCTTTCAGGTGGAGACTGGCTAAAGGGCAAATGAAGCTTCCCTCCATTTATGGCTGCGTCTCACAAGGGGGTGGTGGGGGCGGGGGCGGGGCAGGGATAGGGAGAGAGAGAGGAGGAGGGAGGGAGGGAGGGAGGGAGAACATCTCTGCTCCCCTGACATCTGTTAGGTCTGTTTGTTCCTCAGCCCTTACTGGGAGAAACAGTGGATCCTAAAACTGGGGACCCTCTCGGTGACCCCTGGGGTGACAGGACCAGGCGGGACCCTCAAGCCCCCTGCCCCCAGCATGCCTTCCCCATTCCAGAGTCTGCGCCCCTGCCCCGTGCGCGCACAGATCAGGCAGCAGGGCAGCTCGGAAACATGACGAACACTTGGCAGGCTCCCGCCCGGAGAGATGAGGGGGAGGGGGGTCCGAGGGGGCTGGGCCTTGGCTGCGCGTGCGGCCAGATTCCAGTGTTCCTGGCGCCGGCCCAGGGCGGGACAGCGGCTGCCAGGGCGTCTTCCCTGGGGGCAGCCCCGGGGCTCCTCGCTCCAGAGCGGGACAGAGCCTTGGTGTCTGTCAAGAACATTATTCAGAAACTTCTGGACACTTCTGAGCCCTCACTGTGCGCTCGGAGACAGGAGGCTTGGGGGGAGTTTGGCCTCGGCTGGGATGGCCCCGGCTCTGAAGGCGGCTGTTTTCACAGGGGGCTCTGCTGGGGGTGGCCTGTGTGACCGTGTGTGTGCACATTGGGGGCGGCAGGGCCCCTCCCCTCCACTCCCCTCCCCTCCAAGGACCCAGTCCCAGGGCGTCTCCAGCCCTCGGTGTCTTGAGTTGTCAGGGTCTCGCTTTTCTCTGTTTCCCAGTGTCACGAGCTCCATGTCCCTGGTCCCTGAGGATCAGCATCAGCGTGCCAGGCCCCCGCTGGAACGACTAGCAATATGCCTGCTCTGCCCTCCCCACCCGGGACGGCCCAGGTAGGCCAAGCCGGGGGTCCTAGTCACCACTCTCCTGCCTCCTCTGCCCGCTGGGCCCCGCTGCCTGTCACAGGACCCACAGCGGGACCTCCGAGTGTCCTGGCCCCCCCACCAGGGGCCACCGTCACCGCGGCACGCGACTCACGTCGCGCACCAGGCAGCTTCGGTCTAGAGATGCCTTTTCTGTCTTCTGTTCCTGAGAGTCGAGGACAGCGGATTCCAGCTGTCCCAGCCACGAGCCCCCAGGCGCCGGTGTGCAGGGTGGGCCAGCGTGCCCCTTCGAGCACACGTGTAGCGGAAGGGCTGCCCCCTCAAACCGTTCATCACCTTCAAGTACCCTCTCCTGTCTCCAAAATCGCCTCAACACTTCACAGCATGTTTTCATTGAAACGTTTTCCTTAAAGGGAAGCATCACTGGGGGACCCGCCTTGTGAGAAGATACCACGTTACCGCCACCCCTCCCCTCTGCTCCCCCCGAACCCTGTGCTGACCTCAGCGCCCTCGGCGTCAACCCTCGGAGGCGCTGGTGGAGACACGAGCGTTCCTTGGGGCAGGGGCAGATGACCAAGGCAGGCCGCCGTCCAGGGCTTTCCTGTCACCAAAGCCGCATTAACGCAAATCCATTTTTCATTAGAAAATAAAACTCATCAGCAACATCCACCGAGAAAGGTTCTTTTGAGAGCAAGTTCTTTCCATTTACACAGCGAAGCGCGTGACAGCTGGTGGCTTTTAATGGAAAGTATAATTTGCTGGGCTGAATTACTATCAAATCACTCGAGAATTTGTGTTTTTAATTTTTCCTTTTTGGAGGAGGGCAGCGCTTCGGAGTCCAGAAAGGCAGATGAGGAGTGGAAAGTTCTGGTCTTGTCTCTACGTGCGGCCTTAAAAGACCCAGACGGTCCTCAGCAGGACCTGCATGTTCCAACATGCAGGTTCGCTCACGTCCTCTGCTCAGCACTTGAAGCCCATTTTATAAGCCGCTTAGAAAACGAACCTCCGTCCCACCCTCCACTTAATGGGCTCCACACCAGGCGGTGCATCCATACGCAAACATCTCCACCATTCCCTAGTTGACGGAAAATATCTGATACGGAAAAACCTGCTGCGTGTTTGCTAGGGACTGCGTGTTCCCGTCCTCCCCGGTTTCATGTTTGAAACCTGAACCCCCAGCGTGAGGGCAGCTGGAAGGGTGGCTGGCGGGACACGAGCTTTAGAAGGTCATGAGGGTGGGGCCCCGTGATGGGATTAGTGCCCTTTTAGGACGGGCGGGACCCGAGCTGCTCTCTCTCCTGTCTCCATGCAAACTCAGAGGTAGCTGCCTGTCATTTTTAGCACTGTCTTTTTGGATCTGTCTCCTCAGGCAAGGGAAACAAAAACAAAAACAAAGCAAACAAAAAAACCCCCGTATTTTTTTGGACTATAAGATACCCACCCCCAAATCTGGGAGGAATAATGGTTGTTAATGTTGCTGGTGAGTTCTGTGTACATTTACATTGGTGAAATATGATGTTATTTATGTTATTAAATATTTTACCCCATTTTTTGCATCCACATTTTTCCCCCCTATTTTCCTCCTCTAAAACCTAGGTGTGTCTCACGGTCTGAAAAACATGGTAAATTGGACTACTTCAAACAAAAAAAGTTTTTGCACAGAGAAAGAAACAACCAACAAAACGAAACCACAATCTTTGTACGGGAGAAGATATTCCCCCAATGATACTTCCAATCACGGTTTAACATCTAAAATATAGAAGGAACTCACACAACTTAACACTCAAACCCCCCAAACCACCCGATTAAAAAACAGGCGGAGGAGCTGAAAAGACACTGCTCTGAAGAGGGCCGTCGAGAGTCTCAAGCAACCTGGCTCCAACCTGCCCCCTCACCTCCGTGCGCTGCCCCTTCACCTCCACGCGCTGCCCCTTCTGCACGGGGCCCCTCGCAGCCCCAGCGGCATGTTTCCAGCCCCGGCTCCCACTGCTCTGGCCCTCGACCCCATCCACACGCAGGCCTCACCTCCTCCCCCGGCCTCGCCCGGCCCCTCCAAGCCTCGGTGCCGGTTCTCCTTCTGAATACGCAGAACCTTCCTGGTCTGGCAGGTCCAAGGGGCATTGAAGCCGCCGGGACTGTCCTTGTTAACCGCTCCGGGTTTTGTATTTGTAGTGAGCCTGTCGGCTCCAGGGACCAGACCCAGCACAGTGCACGGCCGGCGGGGAGGCTCTGACCTGGCTCGGCCACTTGGGGGAAAACGTTTCATTTGCATGTTGATAGCATGTATATTTCTCCGGCCAGAAACTGTTATTAGCAATAATAATTAACACAGGAATCTGCAGGGTTGTTCTTTCTTTGTATCACATAGCGAATCACGTGGTTATTTGCCGAGCTCTTGTGCTGCTAGCGCTGGGCCCCAAAACTGCCGGTGACACCCCAGAGCCAGGGCCCCAGCCCCTGCCGAGGGACTCGGCAAACTCCTTAACCTCTCTGACTCTTCCTGTTGGAATCTGGGAAGGATTATCCCTTCCTCCTAGGGTTGTTATGGGGATAAGTCAGATGTTTGGTATAAAATGAGTAAGATATAAATAACCAAGGCAGCAGTGGTTACGTGATGACTCAAACTGAGAAGTTTCTGAAACATACACCGGGAGCTCACGAGGGTGCCTGCAGGGGACCATGGGGAGGGGCAGGACAGGCCCAGAGGAGCGTGGGCAGGAGGGCGGCTGCGCAGTCACCTCCGCGCGGGGCGGGCTGGGCCCCCAGGTGCCGGGATGGGGTGATGGGGAGGCACTTGCACCCAGACAGGGAAATGCATCCTTTCTTCCCCCTCGTCAGACCTCCACCACTGGGTGACGCCCTGCCTGCCACACACAGGTGACCACTCTCCAGGCCCCCGGCCATCCCCAGCCTCTCCGTCGCTTCTTCCCTGTGGTCAGGTTCCCACGAGACTGGGAGCTCCTCGGTCAGAGGCTGCCCGCCAACCCCACCCCGGGACCTGGCGTAGAGCAGGAGTTGAGCACGCGCCGGCTTTTACTGGCTATCCCCGAGCACACACGTCCCAAGAAGGAGAGAAGAAAGACTTCTTCCCGGGCTGCCTTGCTCACCAGCAAGTGAATGATGAGGATGTTGCAAGGAAGTCGCTGGCGAGGGTTCACGGGGCCGCTCTGCTTGTGCCCCGCAGAGGCGCACAGGTTACATGTTTACAGCAACGCCGTGGCCCGGGGCAGATGGAGGAACAGCCAGTACAAGCGAGAGCTGGATTCGGGCAAGGCTCTGTTTGGCGGCTGTTTACGGGATACCATGGCAGCACGCCTCACCCCGGGGTGCTGTGAGAGAGGCCTCAAGCCCAATTATTTGAGGACACTCCAAAAACAAAAGCCAGGAGGGAAGCAATCCTGCGCTAACCGCTAACCGTTGATGAGAAGTTGGCTCCTTGGAAGCCGCGGTTCTGTCAACAAAGGGAGGACAGGGCCCCAGGGGGCGGGGGGCCTGCGGTGGACACTGCACCGGCCCAGAGGCCCAGCGAGGAGGGGTGGCCCTCAGTCCCCGCTGGCTCAGGCACCAGCAGGGGCCCGCGCTCCATTTACCCAAGGAAAGGGACAGAATGTTCCCTTTCAAGCAGAACTGCTGCTGATGGGGGCGTTGGGGCGGACGGAGGTGGCCCTGGGCACTCCGGCCACGGGCAAGGGCAAGGGCATGGGCCTGGCCAGGGCTTTGCAGTTTTGCCAGCCTACCCCAGTCTCTGGTTTGGGGGCGTTACACCTTTACAGCTTGTGGAGGTTGCAATTCCTCTTTAGTAAAACACACACGAGGGACCGGTGCTTCTCTTGAGCCTGGGAATACCACCCGGTTGTACTTTCAAAATTAATAAATCTGGGGCCCAAGCAGAAATCTTGAGATTTCTCTAGTCTTTTTTTTGCAGCTGTGTTACGCCTTACCAGTGCATGCAAGTCTTCGAGGTGGCCCGTCTTCCCCTTTCTTCGTGTTTCTGGTTTCCATCTCTTCTCTCCCCCGTTTTCTCTAGTTCTCTTCTCCTCTAGTGCCTTCTCTCCAAAAGAAAAGGAGATGATGATTATCATCACACGCAGCAAGTCCGGGGGGAAGGCTCTTCCAGGGTCGGGTCAATCCGGTCACTAGGGCCCGAGGCTCCTTCCATCCTTCCCTCCTGCTGGGGGCCAGCTGCTCTTCAGGTCGCATTCCACTGTCCCACCGAGGCCGGGAAGGAAAGGGAGGGTGGAAAATCGGTCACAAGACTATAGAGAGAGAGTGTGTGTGTGTGTGGGGGGGGGAGGGTCCGCGGTGGGCTGCAGTGCACGGCCCTGCCTCGGTCATTCCAATAGGAAACACTGTTTTCTTATTGCTTCACAATGTAGATACATTACAAGCAGCTGGAAGGGACTGCCCCTGTCTTGCAGCCGACAGGATAGCAGACCCCCCTCCCGGACAATGACGAACGCTCCCTGGGGCCCTGCCTCGCTGCTATCACAGCGGCCGGGGACCTCGTTGCTGCCCAGCCCCGGAGCTTCACCTCGGCAAGGCCCTACACTCCCTGAGAGCTGGGGTGAGTCTCCTTCCCCGCGCCCCCGTGACCTGGCACACATTCTCCAGGGCGTCCTTCCGACCCAGCTTCCAGCTTCCGGGGGTCCTTCACGTGTGGTCCCCAAAGCAGAGCATCACCACCTGCACTTGATTAGAAACGGACGTTTTCAGGCCCCACTGTAGACCCACCTGCTCAGGTGCTCCGGGGCGGGGCCGGCAACTTCCGGCTCAGCAAGCTCTGGGTGGAGGCGGGGGGTGGGGGGGGAGTCCTGATTCCTCTAATGTATGAAAGCCACCACCCTCAGGGCCCTGCAGTGTTCAGGGACCAACAATGTAGAGATCGGTTTTCAATCCTGGCTGCACTTTCTTCTCATCTGGGGAACGTTCAAAAGAATTACGAATGCCTGCATCCTACCCTCCCCCCACCTCGGGCCAAACCCTTATATAATCCGTCTGGTGTGCAGCTTGGGCTTTGGGGTTTTCAAAAGTTCCCTGGATGATTCCACATTGCAGCCAAGACTGAGAACCACAGATCTAAATAAATATGGAGGCAATTATACTGTAAATGATCAAGCAGAAATCCAAAAGTGAGACACAGACAAAAACCGAGAAGTCCTCTTGGCTGCTTCAGGACACGCAGCTGTGGGGACACAGTCATCGTTCATCCGTCCCCTTCGCTGTCCTGCCCCCTTTCCCGGGGGTGCAGAGGGAGGAGGCCAAAGAAGCTGGAACAGTAACAGAGACCATCGCATCACCGCCAGACAGGAGAACGGGTCCCTACGCAAGTCCCTTTCATGCGGAGGGTCCTCCCGCCACCAGCCAGCCCAAGGGACCAAGGGCACCCTGGGGCTGTTGGAGCCAGAGGGAGGAGGGAACAGGAGCCTCCTCCTGAAGAGGGAAAACCACGAAACCAGAGATGAGTCTTCCTTCCGGAGGGGAATCTGTTTTAGTTAGTGACACTAAGGAGTCATGTAAGAGTTTACGTTGCCCAAGAGCAGCAACTTACCTGGGTTTGGCACGACACACACGGCCCCTCGTCCGGTGGGCTGTGGGACCCAACATCTCAGTTCCAACAGCACCAGGCTGTACCTCAGACTTTTTCTTAGGTCGTCTTCCCCAAGATCCGGGGAGAGAAACACGACCACACTCAAAAGTATAATTGCTTCTCTTTCAAAATGGAAATTCTAACCCCGTATGTGCGTGGGTAAGAGCTGCTGAGGTGTGATTTAGGTTGCATCAGGTCGTAACCGTGGCTACCCTTCAACTCAGCGGTTGGTCGAGGTTCATCGAGGTTCATCGATCAATTGATTGCACTTATTGAGAGGTACCTCTGAGTCTCCAGGGTTTTCTCTCACACCTAAAGGCAAAGGGTCCTGTTTTACATTAAAATCCCGGAACAGTCTCCGGTGATGAAAACGGCAGCTGGCTCGTCTTCCTCCCACCGCAGACTCACGTGCATGCTGACAGCTCCCGCACCTGAACTGGATGAGAAACTCGGCTTTGACAGTCAGGCAGCAACCACGCAAATTCGGCAACTGTCACTTCTGGTTGAGCGTGGGCTGCGGACAAGTCGGCCCAAACCCAACTCCAAACACTAGTGGGCACTGCCCTCAGGCTCTGGTTCACTCTCAGGGGCGGTGTCAGAGGTCATGGTCTTACACAAGCGCCCGGGGCGGGTGAAGTACCGGTCTTAATAATCAGTTACAATGAACAGGCTCTCTTGTATAGGTAGCTCTTCATGTTTTCCTCCACTTGCCAGTTTGCCTATAATTAATGTAACTGGCTTATTTGGTTTAGAGATTTAAGATACTTTTCAGTTCAGACAGAGGGGCTGATCTATGCAAAGACCCCTCTCGTTGTATTAAAACTCCGCCTTCATCCCTCAGCCCAGCCCCACCCCGACTCTGAGAGCAGCGCTGGAAGGCTCCGGTGCGGGACAAGGACACGGCCTCCAACATGGGGCACCTGCCGCACGCCCGCTCTGCTCCAGGGGCCCGAGGGGTGTGAGCGGAGAGTAGCCTCCTGCCGCCGCGAGGCGGGCTCTGTCGGCGTGTACCTTTTAGAGACGAGGAACAGGAGGAAGAAGGCTCAGCCCTCTGCTCGCGGCCCTGCCGCCAGTGAGTGATCCAGCGCTGGAGTCTCCATTCTGGAGCTACACACACACACACACACACACACACACACACACACACACACGATTTCCCCAACGCAGCCCGACGCGCTCTGGCATGGCCTCACCAGGTATGTCTGCACCTGCACGCACGAGGCACCAACGTTTCCCAGCCTCTCCACAGCTGAGCTTGTCTGGCTCTCTGCTTTTCACCAGTTTGACGGGTAGAATGGGGGCGTTCTCTGATGACTCCCCCCAGGACCCCCATTTGTCAGGAGGGCACACCCTCGTCCTGGGAGAGCGAACAGCAAGCGGCTGCGGCTGAGCCAGGCAGAAGCCGCGTCTCCCCTGCTGCGGCGTCTCCCTGCCGGCCCCTTCGGGACGCGGGTGCACGTACAAGCTACTGATAGAGAAACGCATCTGTGGTAATAAATCACCCCCGCACGACCTGTATTTTCAAGTAATTTATTTCAATAGAAATACTTCAGAAAACTGTACTTAAATTCATCTTAAGTTAGCGTATGCAAACACACGGAAGATCTCACACTCACATCTGCGTGTTAGACAGAGAAACAAAAAGCGAGAGGAACCAAGCCGCACGTCACTCTGGGAGGTCATAGTGCAATCGAGCGCTTCCTCAGGAGCACTGCGGGTCAGCCGGGGGAGGGCGAAAATGGCTTGTGTTTTCCTGCAGAGCTGCCACTGGACACTCATCCCCACGGGCGCGCACACCCCTCCAGTCACACTGGGAAGGAGCTCCCCGCCCCCACGCCCACACACACTTCAGGAGGCCATGAGACCGTGAATGTGCCGGTAATCCGAGTGCAGACACTCTTGAGAGTCTCGTGACTTCTTATCGGCTATTCTTTCGGACCTAGTGAGTCAATAATTACTGGGCTACGTGGACAGTCTTAATAGGTGATACCTCCAGGGGAAACTTAGTTATTTCTTAGCTGGTATTTAAAGCAAGGCTAATGTTTATGAAATTCTCTATTAAAAATAAAAAACAAAAAAAATATCCCTTTAATCTTATCACTACTCCACAGTCTAAATGACTCGACTCAAAATTCAAAATCTGCCAATAACCCCTTCGGTATTTCTGAAAGCAGCACCTCGACTCACCTGAACCGCAGACCTTGCACTAATGACAGAGAAGCAGGATGTTTCCGAGCCTTGCTTTTACGGGGAAAGGGAGTCTAGCCTCTTAACTTGCCTTTAATTTATCTCCTGGGGGTGTTCTCACCCTCCCCCACAATGTCTCCAGGTGAGCCGTCACTGGCAGGTCCGGTGACTGTTCGTTCTGAGTCTTATTTAGATATAAGAATGAACCAAACCAAACCTCACTGCTGGCCAAAGGGACTCTGGTAACAAACAAGACTGCAACCGCTTTCATAAAACCCAAACAGACCTCTCTGGCCTTATCATACTCCTTTAGGGATTTTATGGAAGCCCCGATAACTCAGTGTGTGCTCGAAACAAAACCAAACCCACATCATCGACACAAAACGAACTCAGTGTGATGGACGCTCTGCCCAGTTGTCCTTAAGACCACTCATCTAAAGGGCAGTTTGGGGGGTTTACGTTCATCTCCTGCCCGGAAGGAGGGGAGCGGGGAGGGAGCTGATCTGCAAAGACTCAAAGGCCAGGAGGACCGCAACCATTACTCAGAGGCGTCTGCACAGACTTTCTCAGACGGGCTCGGTGACAGAGAGAGCCGGTGGAGACAGGGACAGATGGCACCCCCTGCCCCCCGAAACGGGGGAGTACGAGGCGAATGACGACTGTCGCACTCGGTGGCCCAGAACTGGCTTCAAGTGGGTAAGGCGCCGACCACATCCCCCCGCCCTACGACGGGAGGTACCAGTGTCACGAAAATGCCTTCGGTAAAAACTTACAAGTTTGCACGCACAGATCTCTCTCACTAGAATCCTCTAAATAAGGAAAAAAGTCACTTGAGACACAAGCCATTTCTCAAGAAACAAAAGCAGAAAGTACTGAAATCATTCTGAAAAGGCTGACGTCACGTGGAAAATAATGTCCATCAACGTGATTACGTAATAGTGCTTGTATGTCCAAGCTTGGGGAAAAACAGACTACCAACCTGACTGCAGAACCTCTGGAAGGGAAATTCGAAAGGACAGAGAGGGCACGGGAAAGCAGACCCTAGGCGCCGCGGCGGAGGACGACACAGGGCGGACCTCACCCCGCGCATGCGCGCTGCACCGCCGCTGGCGCACCAGCAGCGCCGCCGTCCTGCCGCCACGACCTGGGCGAGCTCGCCTGCACCTCCAAAAGGGGACCCGATCACTTCGAAGGCCTTCGAAGCAAAGCGTTTCTTTTACTAAAGATCGTCTTCTGTTAAGCAACACTGGTACCCCTTGGGTGCGGGCCATGGCGCGGTGCTCTGACCACCGCCTGTGCAGGAACGCGCCTCCAGCGACCAGGGAGCAAGTCAGCAGAGGACATGCTCTTTAAAAAAGCCAGGGGACTGCGCCCACTGCTACTGCTGACTTCCAGTTACTGCCGCCCTGCAGTTTTGTTCTCGGCACGCAAGGCAGATGGCGTACAGATTTAATCTAAGAAAGGAAAGAAGGGAAAAAGACTTCTGCTCAAGTCATTTGGCCAGCTGCAGTCCAGTAACCCCGAGCGGTCACTAGACCAGGCCGCTCCCCGCGGGCCCCGGTGCCAAGCCCCACAGCGCGTGCACACCAGACGCTGTGAACGTCGCTGCCTTCCACGACAGCACCCCTCGGTCTCCTCTGCACGTCTCCCAGAAGGGGAGCCAAGCCACTCACAAACACTTCGTGGCCACGAGCGCCCTACCGCGTGTCATGCAGGATGGACTGCCCGGCAGCCTGCAGCACAGGTGGCAGCACGGTAGGCTGCCAGCACTCCTGCACAGAAACACACCCATCACTGTAGCACACGCCTGGGCGCAAAACACACTCACACGCCAACATCCTGGGTCCCTTCCCGTGATGTTTACGCGAACAGTATGTGCACAGCGAAGAAAATGAAACAGGGAGGCGTGTTTGATCAGTTCTCTTTCTGTTCCCACATTTTGGAGGTTACCGTAAAAAACCAACCAACCAACAAAAAAACCCCAGAGGACAAGCACGGCCCAGACACGGGGGGCACGAGACCGGACACAGTGCTCCGGAAGGTCATCGTGCGGTCATCCTCACAGCTGTGTTTTGAAGCTGGCGCTCTTCTCGTACGGAAAATAAGCCTCTGTGCAAACCGTCCTGTGCGTGTCCCCACGGCGTTCGGGCTGGTGCTTCCTCTGCTATGCCTGGCCGCACAGACATGCCAGGCGCCGTGCCGCTCCCGGACTAGCCGACTCTCTCACTTCCCCGAGCTCTTCTCGGCTAGGAGGGAGACCAGGGAACTCGCCATTGAAGAGAATGCCAAGCTTCTGAGTCGCCAACTGACTAATGATGAAGGGTAGGCCTAATCACAGGGAAATAAATGCATCATCCAGCTAATAAACTACCTAAATATTTCACGTGTTTTGGTGGCATATTTTCTTCGCTTGAATTATTATTAGCTATCATCTGGTGAGTTAGAGATAAAAATTTCACCCACCCGGTTTTAATACACTTCTGTGACTGGTTTCCATTTGCTTCGAATGCTAAAATAATCTTAAAAAGCGATGGCTGGTCTTTTGAGTGGACAAATCTGAAGACAGAAGAGGGACGGCGACCTCTACGCAGGGGTGTTAAGAGCTGCAGTGCGGAGTTGTCACCAAATGTGAACACCGTCCTCGGTCCGTGCAGGCAGCCCCTCCTGTTCGGGGCTGAACGCGTCAAACACACCCTCCGGTCCAGCTCCCACTTTGGCAAAACTGTGCGATGTCGGCCTCTGACTTCCTGCCCCTCCCCCCCCCCCCGCCCCCAGCTATGGGTGACCTACGGCGCATCTACTTTAGCTTATGGACGACAAACAAACACAATAATAACAAAAAATCCACAGGGCTCTCATCCACAATATTTTTTAAAAAGCATGTACACAGTTAAAAATACTTGTTTCTGAAAAGAAATAAACAAATTAAGAAAATTAAAAAAAAAAAAAAAGCAAACCAAAAACAAGCTGTGCAAGGTCTGCACAGTAATACTGCCGGCTCCGCAGGGGGCGTCGCTCCGTGTCCCCGGCGGGGGCTGGGCTCGGGGTCAGTCACCGAAAAGCCCCTCAGCACAGGCAACACTGCGCTCCCACCCCCCGCCCACGTCATTCCCCGCAAAACCAGAAATAATGGCATTTCCAACCGCACCGCATGAGAAAAATACCTGAACTGTCAACATCCTTTCGAAACAGAAATCTAAATTTTAGAAAAACTCAGCACTCAGGAGAAAGCTCTTCTACTTCCCTTGGATAGATTTGTAGCTAATTATTAGATTTGTGGGCAATATTTTCTATTTAAATGTCATGGATTCGAGAGTGAAATACTTAAGACAAAAAAGTGGAGCATTTTCTACGAATGCCAGTGTGAGGGGTTCTATGTGAAGCCTCAAGGAGCAGGGGCCTACCAGACAATGCCAGTCGGAATGCACGTGACCCTGGACCAGAGCTGAACTCACGACACTTCATGCATTTACAACGCCCAACACACAGCCTTTGTTCAAATGCCATTGTCTGTTAAAGCTCTAACTAAGGCTTCTTACCTTCCATCTTTGTTTCTTGTAATTCAGTATCTACTTTGGATATTAGATGCATTATTGCATAGAAGAGCCCTCACAAAACTTCTTGCTCAACTACTGACAAAATAGGGTTTCATGGCAGAAATGGCAGGGATATATATATATATATATGTGTGTGTGTGTATATATATTTTTTTTTTCTTGGTCAGGAAATCATTTTGTAATAAAGGGAAATTGTATAAGAAGAAGAGTTTGGATATTTTAAATTCCCAGAAACTCAATCTTTTCTCTTTTAAAATTATTTTGTACGTCTTATAATAAAATACATACATATGCGGAATCTCTCTTAAACAAATGTGATCCTGAATCTCACATTGAACAAAAACAACAAAAACACTGGCATTGTGCACAAAAAATGATGTAAAAGGAAACAGCAATTTATCACCTTGATGATAAAAAAAAAATCCCCCGTGACTGGCAGACGAGATAATACAGCTGAGCTGGACCATGTCATTCCTGCCACGCCTCAGGGGCCCCACTCTCCCCCAGGCGACCTGGGGTCCGACAAGCAACTCGCACAGAGGGCTGAGCGCGCAGCCAGGGGAGAGCAGCCGTGCTTCCCGGAGCCCACTGGAAAGAAACGCCTGGCGTGCGAACACTCAGCCTTTGTGCCTCCTGCAGGAAGTCGTGCTCCCCATACAGTACTCAGTTTCAGAAGTTTAGTGTTTAAAAATATCTTCCCTCATCCAAAACCAAACAAAAACCCTCCCCAAGTCCCAGACAAAGTCCCAGCAACTCACACGACAACATTTCTGGTCCCTGGGCTCTTGCTGCGGGGGTCGAGGGGGCTGAGGGGCCGCTGCCAGCAGAGGGTCCCGCCCACAGGAGGACCCCTGTGCCTTGGGTTCGAAACCCGCTCCCGACGGAGCCCATCAGGAGGACGTTTTTCTTTTTAAAGTGTATCTAAAAAAGGCGACTCCCCCTCCCCCAAAAGTAGTACAAAGTTAAAAGAAAAGCAAATTAGATCTATTTAGATCTAACAGATCTAAAAAGAAATGCGATTTATGATCTACTCCAAGCACAGCACCGCCAGAAGATTCACACACACTATTTGGTGTTGCATGGTGGTTCTCCTTTCACTCTTTAAGGCAGTGGTTTCCACAGGTCAGTCCCGAGATCAGAGGCGTGGTCCATGGCAGTTTGTTTGCGAGTCCAGGCGGTTCTCCGGGAATGTCTCGCTTCACTCCCCGGAGTTAGTGCGGTGAGGGTGGCGGCGAACCCCCGGGGCCGCACCGGGAGCTCCGGGCGCTCCTGGCCCAGGGCTGGTTCTCAGCCCTCAGCCGGCGCTCGCCCCGCAGGTCCCCGCTGGGGGCGGCAGCTCACCTCTCTTCTCGCTGAGGCCCTTACTCGAACGTCATCAAGTTTGTAGGAACCTATAAAATATATGGTAAGCATTACAGAGCAATAATTTATTTTTATTACAAAATTTTCCATTACAATGGACACTGAAGACTGCATTAGTTTCAGCTGCACAATCCCATCATTAGACATTCACGTAACTTGGGAAGGGCCCTGACCGGTGTGGCTCAGGGGGCTGGGCGTCGTCTCATGGAGAGAAAGGTCGCAGGTTTGACTCCCAGCCGGGGCACAAGCCTGGGTGGCGGGCCAGGCCCCTGGTCGGGGGCGTGCGAGAGGCAGCCGATGGGTGCTCTCTGAGTGAGTGCGGGAGTCGGTACGGCTCTGAGCTGGGTGAGGGTTCAGATACACAAGCTCGTCATCCTTCATTTTCTCACTTGGAAGCATCTGAACTCCCACAAATGGAATTTCAAATCCAGGACAGATAACTGTATAACAAACGTGACTAAGATTGGTGAAACCATGAAAGTAAGTGTGAGAGAATGAGAGTCATCGTTGGATGACCAGATCGGATACTTCACGACTCCGAAAAGTCAGCCGGCTGTACAGCAACGTGCTGCTTACAGACGGTGTTGAACGTACTCTAACTTTTAGTACATGGCTGAAATTCAACGACGATTCTTTGAAACAAAAGTAAGTTTTATTTTTTTTCAAATTATTTGACGAGTTCTCTAGTCAAGGACTAAAAGAAGACTTCACCATGTTAAAAAAAATGCTCTTACTTTTTACTACCAAATTTCCATAGCTGTGTTAGAGATACTCATACACCAGTGGTCATTTTTGGCTTTTACAACAACTTAACAGCCCTGGCCAGGTGGCTCAGTTGGTTGGAGCATCGTCCTGTGCACCAAAAGGTTGTGGGTTTGATCCCCGGTTGGGGTGGGCATAGGAGACAACCGATCGATTTTCTCTCTCACATGGATGTTTCCCTTTCTCTCTCTTCCCTCCTCCTCTCTCTCTAAAATTAATAAACATATCCTTAAGTGAGGATTAAAAAAAATCCCCTTAACAGCTCTCTCTCTTCAGCAATCTTTTTTTGAAAACATAAAAGACACTAAAAAAAAAGAACCCCCTACATATGTCTCTGAATGAAAAATTATTTGATGATATAATCATAACAATTATAAATCAAATACAATGAATGCAAATGCTCAAAAGCTTCAGTTGAACTCTCAGCCCTGGTTATAAGAAACCCACGTGAGAGGAGAAGTTTTCATTTCTGTGAAGGTTGCCTGAATGTGGTTGAAGATGCCGTATGAGTCCATTAGAGTCTTCTACCAAACACTCAACTCTCACAGCCTCTGTTTATAAACGTGGTGCTACTCTGATTCCTGCACGCACAGAAACACACACACACACACACACACACACACACAAAGAAACAAGCACCGTCTGCACACTCTGGCTGACTCGCTCAGCGAGGAGGCCACCAACACAGTAAGAGAGACTGAAACCTAAGTATGCGTACACTGTCTAGATTATTCTTGAAATCTGAGATTAAAATAATGACGCTAAAAACTCTAAGCTACGTTGAAAGGAAATGTACAGCATGAAGTGGAGTCCTAAAAAAATCAGTCCAGGCAAAAGGAGGTCTGTTTCTCTCGCTCTGTCCCAGGCGCGAACTAGACCAGGGCAAGAGAGTAATCCCTGCTCCAGGGCCTTTCATGTCCTTAACGGAGGCTGCGCAGCACGGCGCCACGTAACGCCGTCAGTCTTTCGCGCGTATTTGAAGTGAAACCTGAGAACGAACACGGTCCCCTCCAGCGACGCCCAGCACGAAGGCAGAGCGTGTGTCCCGGGCCCACTCTGTGCCTGTCTGACCTCGTGCTGGTCACTGAGCACCGCTGGGCCTGCGAGTCTTCCTGCATCACAAAAGGGGTCCCGATTTCGCAGGGCGGAAAATGCTTCTATGGGCTTTGTAAACTTTCATAGTAAATCATGCCCTTCAAAACTAGCTCCTGATAGCACAGTATTTCAAGATCTTAAGCCAATCATTCTTAAATGTATTCAATGGCAAACTGGTCTAAAAAGGTCTACGGAAAAGTCTGCAGCCGTAGTTATGTTCATTGTGAGTCTGTTCAGCCAACCGTGGTTCCCCTTTGAATCTGCAGCAGGGCTCGGGGGCAGCAACACTGTGGATTTACCCTCCCTGGCGGCTGCAAGCCTTTCCTCAGTAAAAGACAAACAAACCCGAGTGGTTTTGGGGCTTCACTGCAACCACAGAAACGCACCCTGGGTGGTCAACAGGACAAATAAAGATGAATGAGAATGGATTTTATCAATCGGAAGCACCCCCTTCCTTTTCCCTTTCTGAACTACATACCCCCTTGCCTCTCACTCTACTCTACCAGCATGGGCGACCTCTTCTTATTTTGAACACCTCAAGCTCATTGCAGCTTCCAGGTCTTTGCACCCTCTGTTCCCCCTGCCAGAACTGTTCCCCCAGATTTTCACGCGGCCGCCCGCCGCTTCTCGTCATCCCCGTCAGCGCCATCTCCTCAGGGAGGTCCCTGCTGCTCACTCCTGTTCGTCTGGTGCTGCCGCTGCTCCCACCACTCTGTGTTACATAATCCTATTTTGTTTTCCTGTCCAGTTTTTACCATTTGAATTTTTCTTATTTGTTCATTGCCCATCTCCCTAAAATGGAGACTTCAAGGCTTGCTAAGTGCTGTCAGCGAGAACAGAAAGAAAACCGCTTTCCCACCACGTTTGGAAAGTCAGTCTACGTAACGAACACATGTCCAAGTCACGCACTGTCCGACGGTTCAGAGACGCGCTCACCTGTTGTTTGTTACTTTGGCAGGCGGCGCTCAGGTGCTTGAACCACAGCATGGCGTTCATCCTGTTGCCAGCTTGAAACTTGTATGAGTTTCCTGAAATTATCAAAAACAAGGGGGAAATAATAAAAACCTAAGGACTCTCCCATATAATAATTCTGCCAGCTACCACGGAGCAAAACAAAACAGGACTCGAGTTCCTAGTTTCCGAGTTCTCGCTCTCTGACACCGAGTTTCTAATGCAAAGAGTTCTCTGGGCTACCTTCCCGTGACGTCCCTGACGCAGAAAGCCACTGCTCTGCTGTTCGTGAATCGGGAGAGAAGTGATTTTGCCTCCTTAAGTGTTGCTCAGGGTACAGTGTATCTCAGTAAAATCGTTAGGCTTCTCTGGATTTGCATGTGTAGGGTATTCACGGTGTTTTTCCTTAAAACACAGAGCACCCCAAAAGCGGACCATCTGTTGACACGAAACACATTCTGAACACGCGGGGGTGCAGATGGAATCGCACAGCACACAGAAGGGAACACCGCGCGCCCGTGGCCCGCCGCGGGAGGGGAGGTTCTGGGCGGGCAGGGGCTCCTGGCCGGCTGCCCCGGCGGCCCGCACCGGCAGCAGGCAGTCGTTGGAAGGGAAGAGCAGCGGGCATGTGAGCATCTGCTCTTTTTCTCTTTGTCAGTACCAGTTTATTTTTATTAAGTTTATCGGGGCGGTATTGGTCAGTGGGATCATACAGGTTTCAGGTGTGCATCTCTACGACACGTGATCTGCGTCCTGTGCCGTGTGCCCACCGCCCAGAGCCAAGCCACCTTCCGTCCCCTGTGTCAGGCCCTTTCTAACCCCACCTCTGCCACCCCTTCCCTCTGGCACCCACCCCGTCGCGGCCTGTGTCCACAAGTTTGCTTTAGACCCCCATGGGTGGAATCACGTGCTTCCTGGCTTTATCTGACGGACTTGGTTCACCGAGCATAGCCGTTTCAAGGCCCACCCGTGCTGTCGCACACGGCAGGGTTCTGACGTATGGCTGAGTCGTGTTCCGTTGTGTGTGTGCGTGCCGTGCCGCATCTTCCTCATCTGACCCTCTGCTGCAGGCTCTGTTCTGACCAGCGTCTGGGGTCTCCACCCGCAGGAGCGGGGCAGGAGGCTTGTGTGATGCGACCCAGCCGCCCTCCAGCTCCTTGCGTCCACTTCAAGGACACGCAAGGTCAACGGCCAATAATTTCATTCACAAATGTCTCTACGTCATAAACAAAGTAGTATAATTTTAATTATACTACTTTGGGAAGTACTTTGAGCCAAATAAACAATTAATTTGATAAAAAGTAATGGAATAGAAACAATTTGCAGGAAGACCTCTGGCACGCTCACAATCTAAGACCAGCAGTCTAGCTCAGAGGACAGAGGAAGGGTGCGATGTGTCGGGCAGAGCACTGGGATTTTAGGGCAGCGGTGGCCCACAGACTCCCAAACCCCTCCTCCCCTCCCTGGCTATTAGCTCTCTAGGGATTAATTAGACTTTTCATTTCAAGCTTATGCCCCTGCAGCAAAGAAAATACGCTTATTAAATAGGTAGTCAATAAATATTAATTAATAACTAAAAATACTGGTATCATTACTATACGTTACGTGACAGAACTATTTCCCAAGAGTTTCTGAGAAACTTCCCCCCGTAAGGCAGTCACCCAGTTAAAACTAGGCTTTGGCTTGCTGAAAGTTACGTACATGCAGCCCCTCACCCCCTGGTTGTTCCAGTGACTCACCTTTCTCCGAGTCAGTGAGCAAGAAGAGATCGGGGTGCTCCGGGTCGTCCGCCATCATCACCATGCACCCCACCACGGACACGTTCTTATTCGACGTGGACTTGAACTGAGAGGTAAAGAGACGGCCAACGGTTATCCTGACGGCTGGTCCTGAGCAGAGTCTAAGTGTCAGGGAGCATGCGGTCGGTCTCTCCCGGTGAGAGGGGAGAACTGCGTCTCCACGCCGGTCAGCTGTGCCCACGGCCTGTTACTGCTAAATCCCGCCCGGGCACGCCCTCTGGAGATGATCCGCCCTCTGGAGAGGGTCCTCTGCTTTCCAGATCTTTCCCAGCCTCAGCTCCTCACCAACACCCACGTGTCTCAGTGGCCCTTGTCAAGAGCATCATGATCTGCTAGTGGACTGGTAAACTCATCGATGTCGTCATGTCTGTTCCGGCGCCGCCCCTCACCCTTTTCTTAGAGCAAACACAGCTGCGTTTCAGCAGAGATGTTTTCCTCCTCCCCAGCTTCACCGAGATGGGACCGACATACTACACTGGGCCGGTTTAAGGCTCACAATGCAATGGGGGGGAGGCGTGTTCTCTCGAACCCGATTTCATAAACTAGCAGTGCTATCACACAACTCTTAATAATATAGTCTTATTTGTATTTCTAAAAAAAAAAACACGTTTCTTAGCATGCCTGTTACTTTTCTAGTTTTTTTGTTAAAAGTTACCTTTTAGTAATGAAAAAAACTGTTATAAAAAAACAGAAAAAATGAGGTTACTTTTCATTCATGAATAGAATGAAAACCGTTAAATAAAATACTGGCAAACTGAACCCAGCCGTGTGTGAAAAGCTGACACACGACGACCTAACTGGACCCTTCGCCGGACGGTAAGGCTGGGTTAGGGTTACAAGCCAATTAAAGCGGCCGACTGGGCTGATTTGGAGAAAGTGAGGTTAGTTCATCTTTAGAAAAATTACTATAAATCACCACATGTTAACAGATTAAGAGAGAAGAACACCAACTCAGCTGATAGAAAATAAAAGCATTTGCTAAAATAGAAATGCATCCTCGTGACAGACTAGGAATAAGAGGAAACTTTCTAATTCGATGGGAGTGCCTACCACACAAATTAACAATGACAAAATACACAAAAACCACACCAAAATGAAGCAGGACCCCCCTCTCCAAAATAGCCCCCAAACCAAAACCCTGCAACACATACATTCAAGGGTAAAATGCTAAAAACATTTCACAACCAGTATTCAGATAAGGACGCCCGCTACTGCTACCCAGTCAGCTCAGTAAGGAAACAAAACTGAAATAAAAGGGGGAGGAAGAAATAAAACTGCCATCACTCACAGATAGTATTGCCTACACAGAAAATCTACCCAACTCGACCAAACTAATGAGAAACACTAGCAAGGATGCCTGGAAAAGATCAAGATGAAAGTCAACTGTGATTCTATACACAGGAAATACAGAAGTTACTCACAAGAAAGTCATTTGGGAAAACATGTAACAAAAGACATACCAGAAAGTGTAAGACCTTGAAGAAGACCTAAAATCGATGGAGAAATACCATGAGACCAAGAAGGCTCCCTATTATAAAGATTTCAATGATCCCTACACTGGCCTATAGATTCAGCGTCACTTCAAGAAAGATTCCAGTGGGGTTTTATGGGGAACTTGAGAAGCTGATTCTAACATTTTCAAACTGGGGCGCGGCGGCAACGCGGCAGCAGCACCTGCACCGGCAGGGACCCCAGGCAGCGACCACAGCCCAGCGGGGCAGGGGGCTGCAGAACTACAGGGAGCCGGTCGAGCGCACGGGAAGCCGTGGCAGAAGTGGGCGGTGTGCCGGCAGACCCGGCAGGAAGAGGAGGAGGAGCAGCGGCTGCAGAATGAAGTGAGGCTGCGGAGAAACTGGCACTCAAGACGGCCTGTCAAAACTAGGTGGTCGGACCCTCGAGGAGACAGAGGCCGCTTCTCTCCAAGTCTCGGAGAGCCCAGACTCGGCTTACTGTCCTGAAAGGAGAAGCTGGGAACCTGACCGAGGCCGCGGCCGCAGAGCAGGAGAGCGGTGGAGGCAAGGATGGCCGAGCGGCCCCCGGCGGGGGTGAGGGGGGAGATCAGCTGTCTCCACTGCTCCCACCAGCAGCTGGGTCCACAGCAAGTCTGTCTTCAAAGCTTCGTGCATGGCGGCAGCTGCCTTGTCTCACTGTCTGGGGTGTCAGGAGGGAGCAGCCAACCTCTCCTGCCCCTGGGAGACAAGAAAAGCCCAGGGGGCCCCAGCCAGGTGCTCGCACAGGCAGCGGGAAGGGCAGGTTCTGGGTGGGCTCTGCTCGGGGCCTGCCTGAAGTCCCCAGGCCTCTCTGGGCTGCAGGAGAGGCCCTGCTTCTTGAACACAAAAAGATATTTAATATTTGCAGTAGATGATAAATATAATGATCAATTCTCTAATTTGGCTTCTTTATAATCAAAGTCATAAAAAAATAAAAAAAAATTTATTTCGAATAGCTACTTCTTCACAATCGGTGAGGCCCAGCCACGGATCTCAAGTGGCTGTGCTGCGAGTTGACTGTATCGACGTCCCCGCTCGAGTTCAGCAGCACTAACCAAAGGCAACTACCTTCTCTGCACAGCGCTTCAGTGAAACTAATGGACGTAATTTTGCTGGTATGTGGGGACTTCAGTCAATTTGACCAGAATTTTTACAAAATGCTCCTCTCCCTCAGTGTGAGGACTCCAGCTAAACAATTTTAACAGTGGACCACAAAGCCAGCGCTCCAGGACTCGGTGTGAGTCTATTCGGGTAAGGGTAAAAGAAGGAAGCAATGTGTGGTGTGTAAGGGAACAGATGGTAAACTGAAGAAAAGCAAGACAATGATTCACATGGAATCCAGGACAGGGTCAAGTTGTGGGTGTGGCTGAGAAGGAAGCCAATGCTATCTTCCAGCACTTTCCACACTCATTTAAACCAAAAATATCCTCTTCTCTACCTCTGCTGTGGTTACAGGGCTGACTGTGAGGAGAAAGAATTAGGGAGTGTTACTTGGGTAAAGTCAGAAGTAGTAAAGAGACAATTTTTTTTCAGTGGCTTACCTTTCCTCGGTATGGCAAACCACTTTGTTTCCCTGGAAAATACATGATTTAGAAATAAAATTCCCCTCAAAGAGATGAATGAAACATGGGTAATTATCCTTCCTTTCAGAGGTATATCGCTGGCATATAAAAACAAAACAGCGTGCAAAGAAGATTCACAAAGATTCTACATTTGGAGAAGTGAGCACTAAGGCTCCTTTCATGTAACACAAAGCCCAAGGAAGGGGAGCGCAGTCAGTAGCCATGGTAACTGTTGTTCCTTCTCACTGTTGGGGGAAATCGCTCAACTGAAGTTGAGGCGGAAAGTTCTTTAGATGATGTCTGCAGTTTTTCACTCGAGAACCGAGACTCCCAGACTCGGAGTCCTCGGCGATTTTCCGAACAAGAAACCCCCCTTCGGAAGGCTGTGATGCCAAGACCGGCATTTGTAATGTGCCGTTTTGACATTTGCAAAGGAAAAAACTAGAATTTGAAAAAGAAACTTCAAAATATGGAAGTTATTTCAAGGCTTTCCTTGGAATGGCCTCACAAAATAAAAATAATTCCACTGCAGTCCTCAAGGAAGAGGGATAAGGACTCTGGATTAGAGCACGGAACAATACCCGCAGCGCCAGCGTTCAGCAGGGGCCCCCGGCCCACGTGGCCGGGAGGGGGCGGGGAAGCCGCGCCGACAGTCTCACGGAGGGGCAGAGGGGCACTTACGTGTTTTCTCTCGGTGGCCTTGAGCGACTTGGCAGCGTAGTAGAAGAGCTGCGTCCCACACAAGGCTGCCCAGTATTTTGTCCAAGACGCCACCTGAAGGGACAGACAGGTGAGCACACGATGAGTGTGTGGCTGGCTCGGCGTCCTTGCCTCCTCGGCGTCCTTGCCTCCTCGGCGCCAACGCTCTGCTCCTCTCAGGGTCCCAGCCCGACCTTAACCTCAGAGTTGTCTCACCCCGAAACCTTCACCTCAGACGTTCCCACCACTTTCACGTAATAGCCTCTACTAGCACTTCCATTCAGATCGTTACCAATTCCATCAGGAGTCCCATCAGTTTTGACATCGCCTGGTATTGCCACGGCCCCCCTCTGCTGCACGGCCCAGCGCTGTGCCCGTTCCCCTCCCAACACTTTACCCTCGCTGCCTGCTCTCCAGAGGACCCCTGACCCTGGTCACTCTGACCACCTTCTCTTCCCAGACGATCGACCTCGCCGGGCCCACACTGCCAGCGCTGTCTGCATGCCCATGACCCCCCAGCCTCCATCTCTGGCCACCACCCCTCTGCAGAACTTCTCAACTGCACTTCTTCAAGAGCCACCCTGACGTCTCCACTTACACGTCTAATGAGTGTATCACACTGAACTTGGCCAAGACTTACCTGCCCCTTCTCAAAAACAAAAAACCACCACCACCAAAAACAACAGATTTTCTCCCTTTCGGTAAATGTCCCCGACCCGCACCCAGCTCGGTCCCAAACCCAGAAGTGACCCATCGTACACCTCACACATGGTCAAACAGGCCCCTGACGTCCCCTCCCCTCCACCTGCTTCACCTGCACAGGCCATCTGATCTCCCGAGCGCGCGAGCCCTCACGTTCTAACCCACCTCCCTCGCTGGGATCCTGGCTCTGGGGACCTGCCCTCGCCATGGTGACAACTCCCTTCACACAGCACCCCCACCCCCTGGTCGCCGTCCCTCATGTTAAGGGCTCGTTCTCCACCCTAGACCGCCACCTCCACCAGGCAGGTGCCTGCCAGGTGCACCGAGGCCTCGGCGGGCGGGCCGCACTCAGCTCACTAGCTGGTCTCTGCAGCGGCTGGGTTGTCACGTGAGCGGCCAAGTTCAGACCGCTCAGATGGAAATGAGTTTTATACTTTGAGAGGCCTTCGTATTTTTTCAAACACTTTAAGTGCGGATATACAGCAATGCTTTATTCCAAACTAGCTTTAATGTTATTTGAGAGAGAGAGAGAGAAAAAAAAAGCTTTCTTTAGTTGTCAAACTGCCGTGCTGCCGCTGGGGAAAAACAACTTTTGTGTTACATGGGAACAGCTTTGTTCCACCAAACTTTTAAAAAAATACAGTTACGGTCTGAAGGACATTCACTGTCTGGGTTCTCTTTCATGCGGGAACATGGAACGGCGTCACCAAGTTAAACAACTGAGAAGTGACGAACAAAACAGGTCGAATTCCACTTTAGGTTTCTTTCTTTCCATTCTCTGTTCTTCCTGAACTCACTACTAACATACACCCTAACACCACCTACTCCAGCGCTCGCTGAGCAACGGCTGTGAACTGCACTCGAGGGCAAAGAGGAGTGCAAGGGCACCTTCACTTCAGCGCCCTACACGTGTGACTTAACCGACCCCGAGAAACAGGGCGAGGCAAATGCGTGTCTTCAGTGACCTCGAAAGTGTGTACCGTGTACCAGGTTCTGTTTCAGCTGTCTTCACACTTTGGGGGTCCTGTACACCTACATATTGTTAGAAGTGTTCAAATATAATGATAAAATCTTACTTTCGGCTTCTTGCCTTCCTTTAACAAAGTTTTTCTCTTGAGAACACCTTGGATAGTAACAGCCCCTGGATACAAATGCACGGCCAGGTCTTCGGAGTCCGCAGAGCTATGACGACGAGATGAAGGAAAAAAACCAGGTGAGAGCTTTTGTGTATAGTAGTTATCAGAGGCACTTAAATGAGATTTAATTATCCTTTAGTTTCAAACTTTGTTACGTTATTCAGAACGAGAAGATACTGACAATTCTAAAGGTTTATTGATCTGAAACTTAGAAGCTGTTACAGAAGTTATTCAGGAAGTTATTCAAGTCAGCAGATGGTTAAAACCACACACTTTATTACATATTTGAACAAGGATAATTTAGTAAGAATAGGGTAATTTACTTCATTAAAGAGTAAATGAAAGATTTAAGACTTTTCTTCCTCTTAACATGCCACACTGCATCATTGCTGTGAGCTTTTTTCCTTGTTAGAAACTGTATGTCCTTGGAGGGAAGATGAGGCTTCTGTTTGTTAAAAGAATTCAAGCCTATAAAACCTCAGAGTAAAGATAATGAAAGTTCAAAAATGGAAAAGAAAACCCACACTTAATTCAATTCTACAACAGGTGACAGAAGTAAAAAAGCAGTAAAAACAGATTAACGAAACTGACTTTCTGCAATCAATTTTAGTGACACTTCCATGTTATCAATGCTTCTGATCACACGTACGGCCTACCTCCACACCCCAAGACGTCCTTAAGAAAAACCATCACAAAACTACCAACATTTAAATATCTGTTCCCAATTGATTTAAGGTCCTATATTTGAAGCACAAGTAATTTCTGCACGGATCAATTAAGACACACCCATTAATAAAAATCTGTCCTCCTCTGGCAATCTGATTCCAGCTGCAGAGCTCCCGCGACAGACATCGAAACTTAACGTTTGCTCATTTACCCCTTTACGGGTTCTTTAGGTGTCTTCAAAGTGACGTGAGAGCCTAGAGACCATTAGGAATTCCGGGCTGGAGCTCTTTATATTCAGGGACGCACACAGAAGGAGACTAGACTCCATCGACGTGCAGAGTCCACTGCTGACGGGGGCCCCTTTGTGGTGTTACAGACTGACCGATGGCCCACTACTACCACCAACCTCCGGCCCCCAAGTGAAAAGCTGTATCACCCTCACTTCTTCTGCAGCTAGTACAGCGTAGAAAGAGGACTCGGCATAACCAGATGAATGATTCAGCGAACATGCATTTAAACATACAAGTTTAATTTAATAAAGTTAAGACTATTCTAAATTCAGAACCTGCAGTTCATCAAAAAAGTTCTTTCAAACGGCAAATCTAACGTATGCTTATTAGCAAAGTAAATTCTTTGACGGAGGCCTCTGAACGAGGCCAGAAGTGGATCTTTGTACTGCTCATCGAGTAACTAGCAGCATGAGAAAGACCTGAGCAGTTAAAAAGCTACCAACTCGGACTCTGGCTGGTGTGGCTCAGCTGGCTGGAGCACTGACCCACAACCAAGGGTTGTGGGTGCGATTCCTGGTCAGGGCACATGCCTCGGCTGCGGGCTTGATGCCTGGTCTGGGCGTGAGTGGCATCCAGGTGCATATGGGAGGCACCCAATCGACGCTTCTCTCTTGCATTGATGCTTCTCTCTTGCTTCGATGTTCCTCTCTCTCTCCCTTCCTCGCCCCCTTCCTTACTCTCTAAACGCAATGAAAAACTAACTTGGAGTTATTTTAAAAATGTGACATAAAGAGGAAAGTTCTAGCAATTAGCTCTGTGGATCAGAAAGAACAGTTCAAATTTATGTCTAGATTAAATCTTGAAAAGGTTCCTGGGCATTGTCTTTAAACCAATTAGTGGAGAAAGAAGAGAAATTCTGCGAGACCACACCCAGGGAAGCCAATCACCAACACCAGAGGGGGTTCTGCGACCCCTGAATGCAGGGGACGTGTACCTGCTGGCCTTCATGTGGCTTCGATAGCCATTTCGTGCCACTCGGGTCATCGGGCCGAGAGAATGGTATAATCTGTTCCTGTTGGATTCCATTATAAATTGTATAGATTACACACACTTTAAAATTCACACAATCTTCAGTACCTAGAACAGTATAATGACTTCTGCGTGTAACAGCTTTCTACATCTTACAAAAGGTTAGTTTGTCATTGGTTCTGTTTTTTAAAAAAGCATGCAGCATAGGTTTAAAGAGTTGTTTCTTTTACTGTTGACACCAGTTATAGGTGCTTAGTACATATCATAATACATTTTTATATATATGCACTTTCACAAATCTGCTAAAATACTTAAAGAGAAGTTTATAACCAGATACTATCAAAACCTGAAAACTACTTAAAATGTCCTTTTTTTTTTCCTATCCCAGTTCTTGGATTCCAGTTTAAATATGACACCTGGATTCATATAAAATAATTCACTTGTATTATATGTCCCTATGAAGACACCTAAAAGCAATGTGGTCTGCAAACTTAAAATTAACGTTGCCCCAACGCCTTATTTTCCTCCCTGTCCTTTCTCATAAGTCCAAGGAAATTAACAGAAGAGAGAAACTGAGTGAAAAAGGAAAAAAACATACACACAGAAACACTCATACTTCTTTGCCTGGGAAAAGCCAAAAGCAGCATGTTGATAAATTAATTTAAAACAAAAAGCATTATTTTAGCAACTGAAGCAGCAACATATCTGATGTCTCTCCGGGAAGAACAGAAAATGGCATGTTTAACGTTCAGATTACTGCTTTCATTATCTACAGGTAGTATTTTCAATCCTAGTTCTTTATTCACTTATTATTATTATTATCTCACATCTGAATCTTGCAGGGCAGCATTAATTTGCTCTCAAAATGTTTCAAAAGCCACTGATTTAAACTTGGCACAAGTACAGTAGGTTTTTTTTAGCTGCAAATGTCTGCAAAGCAAAACATGTGTCATGAAAAAGAATGCTGTTTTGAGAGGTGAAGGTAACACCGTTAAACACTGTCTTTGAACTTGACCTGCTGGGGCGAGAACAGTTGTCCGCGCCACTCTGGTTACTCATTTACATCGCAGGCAATCTGAGAAACAGTTTTGTTCATTGACACTTTTCATTTAAAGATCACAGTGCACGCCTACAGTGGACATGATGACATTACGCTCTTTCTGGAGAGAAAGAACCGAGACAATCTGTACAGACAGCACATGCCGGGGGCGACTCTTCTGTTGTTCCATTTCAGGCAAACCCAGGCAAATCCAAATAAAGAGACTGAAAGTAAAAGTTGGAAGAAACCTAATACGCAAAAACAAATTGTTAAGAATTCCCCAAAACAAAGAGAGGGAAACTTGGGAACACTGGTAGTGTCGAAGGGCTTAGCAGTACTTTAAAATTCTGGGTTTACGAGTAAAACCTTAATCACAGAATGGTGAGAATACGGTATATACAGTGTCATCAAGAATGAGTATGTAATTCTCCAATTACACAACAAAATTCAAATACAGTTTAACTTTAAGTGTATATTTAGTATAACTGTTTTCTAGTAAAAGTCACTGATATAAAGTTAAGTAGCTAAATATTTCAATTTCACTATGACATTTAAAATTCAATGTGAATGACATCCTTGTTTAGAAATGTAGGTTGCTTTGTACATACAAAAAAGAGCGATTATTTTGGTCGAAAGTCAAGTATATATAAGGATAAAAATGACCAAACTGAAATGGTCAAAGACAGTATAAAAGCCCTGACGATCATCTAGTAAATAACAATCATCTGCACCGATCGGCTGCATTTCTGAGTGTAGCCAAACTGCACGTGTTACGTTGCAAGATTAACGTAGCAGGTCAGCTGCGCAGGCCAGTGACGGCCGTGACGGCTCAGGGCAGCGAGGGAGAAGCAGGCGAGGTGCGGTGCCTCAGTGCACACCTGCCTGCCCCGTGCAGGGTCCGAGCGAATGGCAATGCGAACCCACACTCCCGACTGCTCTGCTTACAGTGTAACTTAAAATGTACTCAGTCACTTGGCTCCTGACAGAGTAGCAGAGAATGACGTTGACATTCTGCTAAATGCCTTAAATTACTTATATCAGCCAGAACTGGTTATTCTTTTTACACTATAATTTTAAATGTATTAAGATTCATATACATGTGTCAAGGCACCAAATAAAAACATGTATATATCAGGAAAGATTCAATTTCAGACTTAAATATCTACTTCTAATTTCTGCCATCAGCAGGAAGCTCCAATAGCTCCTTAGAGATATGTAACAAATATTATCTCTTAAAATTCGTGGGATCATTTGTGAACTGCATTATTCACATATTTTCAGACAGAAAGTAGACTCAAAGCAGTTCAAATGGACAGTGTTTCTTACCTCTCAAACGCAGGCCATGAGGTCTCTTCACTTAGTTCAGAACCATCACTGCTACCTGAAATCAGAAGTTATTCTATTGTTTAAACGTCAGATTTACAGTTGGAGGTTTTTTACTTCAGCCGAACTGCATCACTCGCACAACCAGTGTTCCGCGAGACCCAGGCTCTGATGCTGCAGGTGTCCGTTATCTGTGACGCATCAACGCCTCTCCTAAGTATTTAGAACGGCCATGCACCATCCTTGTAAAAACCAAAGCAGCAGCCACTGGAATAATTTTCTGGTTGTGTGGTCCAGAGGAGAAACTGATGTAATGGTTCAGATGAGAGAGGGGAGGCAATTTGCCAGTGGGTCTTACAGATGACCTGGTTTGTAGCATTATGTGGTCAAGGCTGAAGGCAAGACCACTCCAGGACATCCGACTACGTTACAGAACGGCGGAGGCCTCTATGGTACAGATAAGTGCAGCATGTAAGTTACAACTAACGAAAACACCCTTTTGTGATTATGGAATTTGTGTCTATATATTAACACCTACCATTTATGGGTATAGACTTATTTTCTTTTCAGACTATTAAAACTTGAAAACAAAACCCTGGGAGGGCTTAATTTTTTTAGATTTAATTAATTTATTTTTAGAGAGAGGTGAAAGGAAGGAGAAAGAGAGGGAGAGAAACATCAGTTAGTTCCCTCCTGCACGCCCCAACCAGGGACCTGGCCCTCCACCCAGACATGTGCCCTGACCGGGAACTGAACCGGTAACTTTTTGGTTTGCAGGACATCGCCCACTGAGCCACACCAGTCAGGGCTGTCTAATGTTCTTAATTTACAAACAAGGATGTAACAATCTCCACTGTTTATCTACTTAAGAGTCATAGAAAAGTTATAAAATTAATACAAAGGCAAAATGGAATTAGTCTCTTCCTGTTGTCAGAGAAAGGTCTCCAAAATGAGACACTAACTATAACTGAATGAATAATTAGATAACTATCTTGTGATAACCATTAGAATATCTTTGGAAAGAAAAGCCACAAAGAAATAGAGAATAATAATTATCATGATAATATGATGGGAAAAAGCCAAATATATATTTTATATATATACTTAATCGAGAGCTTTAATTTTAAAAATTACTTTCTGCTTTAAGTGGCATGCAGAATTCTACGTGTAACAAATTTTTAACTGAAAAAAGTTCTTCCTTTCTCTATTGCAAAATGATTCCTTGCACTATTTTTCAGATTGATATTTGCATTTAGGCAACTAACAGCATTACTAAAGAGGTATACACTTCAGGTGGCCAACTTGTCTTCTATTTTATAAATGCTGCCATCATTTAACCATTTGCATTTATAAGATGGGGACTGTGGGAATGAAATACCGCTGCATGGTGGTGGGAAGCTCTAAAGCAATTCTGTTTCCAGGGGCTGGAACTCTCGAGGGTTAAGGGGTCATTGTGTTCAAGAAAAAGAACAACTCTGCATTCTTTCCATGGACTACTCATCAACACGGAGGCCATCTAGTAACAACAATAGGCTTAGCCCTTGAGTGACCCGACCGCTAATTACAGAGGAAAACATTTTCCTTTCCCTTTTTTAAAAATAAAAGTAGCATTGTGTGGAGATGTTCTTATTATCAAAAGGTCACCTAGAAGATTCAGAGAATAAGTAAAAGTCGGAGAACTGAAAACAAACGAACTCCTGCCACACACTCACATCCCTCTGCGTCCCCCTTCCCTGTTCCCCTTCACGGAGCTGTCTCTGTCCCCACCACTACCCTGCAGAGCAGCTCTCGCCAAACCCACTGACCGGCTCCCGGTCCTGCCTTCTCCTCTTCTGCAGCTGGTAACCGACACGCCCCACACTGCCCTCCTCCCAGAGGCGCTTCCTCCACCGGCTTCTGTGCTCCCACCCCTGGCTCCCCACCCCTGACTCCCCGCCCCTGACCCCACTTCGCCGACCCTTCATAGTTTCCTCTGGTGGCCCAGCCTTTTTTTCTTTTAAGCACAAATAATCGGACCTCTAAATATTAGAATGTCGTCCTCTTGTTTACTTACACCCTCTCCATGGGTGACCGCAGCCGGTCCCGTGACTTGGAACACCGCAAGGTGCTGCCCCCTGTGCCTGCACCTGCAGACCGACCCTCCCCACGCACTGAGCTCCAGACTCGCACACTCAGTTCCCCACCCGACAACGCCACGCAGACCACCCACGTCCAAAACACAGTTAGTACAGTCACCCTGTATCCGACGGCTGCGTGGCTTTTATTGCACGTTCTGTATGTGTACGCAGTGTTAATGACGCTTCCCAGAACTGCTTCTCACCTATTGATATCCCACTGGACAGAGTAGAACTTTCAGCCTGGCCGCGGGCTGGCGCGTGGGGCTCCATGACGCTGTCGTCGAGCAGGTGCCTGGGCCCCGCGTTCGGGAACGTGGCGCTCTTAAACTCTGCCGTGTTCATTTTGTGAATGAAACTGAAAACAAAGACAGATGCCTTTTATTGCTATTACCAGTTCGGGGTCCAGAAGACACTTCTATATAAAGATGCAGGACATGAAAGATTTACCAGCAATTTACACACAGACTCTACCATGAAGGCCTCGAATGAACAGTTTAGAGAAATTGTTTTAGGAAACCAGGCCGTATCTGCCTCAGTAACAGGCCCTTAAAAAATTGCCTTCCATTCACTTGTGGAAAATAGCCAGTAAATTTCCACAAAAATCATGGCAAAGGCGAGCCCATTCTGAGAAAACAATCTTGCAGAGCTAAAGAAATTAAATATGAAATCATTTCCCATTCTTTATATTTAGGGATAAAAAGAACAATTTTTATTATTTTTTATTTTTTTTACTATTATTTTTTCCAAAAGAACAATTTTTATAAACCTTAAATGGTGGTGACTTATTTTAGTTAAGACAAGCAATAACTGTCTTGATACAAAGAAAGGTTATAATCTAAAGTAAAATGGTAGACTGCTTTCTGGGTTTATTTAGGGTGCTCTGTGAGACTCACCTATCTCCCCCAAATGGGAAGGCACTAGTGGGAAAAAGCTCATTTCCAAATTAAAGTAAAGGAAGAGATAAATGCTTTTAGGCAAAGAAGATATTTTACTGAAGCAGAAAATACTATTGTCAACAGAAAGAAAACTATGCAAGGACACTATCTGCAGTTAATAAAATAAACAGAAAATAAGTCCAACGGGAAACAGTTTATAAGCCACGGGCTGGGAAGGTGAAACCGAGGATGCTGACTTGTAGCCCAGGCTGTGGCACTTCCTGTGGCCGTGCGGGATCAGGTTCCGGGGCGAGGGCAGCGTCTGCGGCAGCAAGGCCCCCTCGGCGGCCACGCTCTTCCTCCCACTCTGTGGGGATCCCACTTCAGGACCTGAGGGTGCAGTTTGAAAAGAGAGAGAGGGAGAGACATTTTCAAAAGATTGTTGTATTTTTAATCCCTTCATATACAACGCGAAACATGGTGTAAACTTCAAGATGACATGTTAATTCCATTTAACTCACTGGACACAAGAAGTAGTTACTTTCTAAGTCTTCAGACACAGACCCCCAAAGCGGACTAAACCCACCGACTTCTCTCTCCGACCTGCACTAACTGGGCGGGGTGAGTGCCTCCCCCCTTGCAGGGGAAAAGGCAGGATCGGAAGAGAGGGGCTCGGGGTCTCGCAGCACAGAGTCGGACGCCTGGGCTGCCCGCCCCGGTCAGTGCCCTGGCACTTACAACGGTTTTACACTGTTGTGTTGTGGCTTCTTGACTGTTACTTTCGGCTCCCTTTTAGGTAAGGAATGCGCAGGGCGTGTCAAGCATTTACACTGTTATAAAATAATCTCTTAAATTCTGAATTAGAATTTAAACTTATGTTGACTGATGGGAATAAAAAATTAGAACTGAAATGTACACAGATTTGCAAAACATCCCCTTTAACAAAAGCAAACTGAAGGTATTCAGACTGCACTGTTCTCCCCCTGACAACGGTCACGGCTCGCCCCTCACCTCCTTCCACAACAGTGTGTGATGGGTCTCCAGACACTGTTTAAAACATACAGTAACATGAATCTTATTAACCAAGGTCTGTGTTTGGAATTTTAAAAAAGGTTCTGATCAATAATTTCCTAAATAATGAGTAGTTCTCAACTTTACATTTTTGAACATGTGTGGTGTATGTATAATATCTTCATTGTAATGCAACGGATACATCAAGGGACTATGACGACATTTTTAACATTTTCAACACTTGACCCAGTATTAGAGTAAGACTTAAAAAAATTAACTCACTAAAACTGACTCCTGCAATTGTTCAAATTAGAATTTTCCACTTGTGCACAGACATTTCTAATGATTAAAAATCAAACATATGCCAAGCAGAAAATTTTAATATTAAAAATAAATTTTTTGCACGCAGTATAATACGTGCTAGGTATTTACTTACTCTGGAGCCCAGTCTGTCTTACCATCTTACCTGACTGCTGACTGGCAATGGGAAAACTATGCACTGACCTACGAGATCCTCCCGAGAGGCAGCAGGGCGGGGCGTGCTGGTTCCAGGTTCTATCTTCAACGAGAGCCTGAGTTTTAACAAGAAACGAAACACGTAAAATGATTATCATTTGACAAAATAATATGAAAATCATGTATTTTCTCACAAAAAACTAAAAACACTGTTATAAGATAATCTCAGTTACGTATTTTTCTTCAAGAGCGACCATTAAGAGTTAAGTCTACTTACTACCTTTTCCATACAAAGTTGACCTTATAGTTATTCTAGGAAATATTAAGATGGGGGAAATAGTCAAAAGTCCTATTTAAAAACAGAAAAATCTCCCCAAACTACCTCAACATTGCCAAACAAGTCATCACTTTTAAAGATATTTGATGAATGACTAAAAGGTGATTTAACTTGAAGTTGTATTGATACCTGACACTTAATTCAGGAACTTTTACATGTATTATTAAATACATTATGCAAATTCTTTCTAGAATCTTTATTGGATGGACTAACAGCTTCAGCAGCTCTGAAATTTCAAAAACACCTTATTTTGACCTGGCTAGTGTGGTTCAGTGGATTGAGTGCCAGCCTGTGAAACAAAAAGTCACTGGTTCAATTCCCGGTCATGGCACATGCCTGGGTTGCAGGCTAGGTCCCCTGTAGGGGGTGTGCGAGAGGCAACTACACACTGATGTTTCTCTCCCTCGCTTCCTCTCTCTAAAAATAAACAAATAAAATCTTTAAAAAACAACAACACCTTATTTAAAAACTCACCATCCAAAAAAACCAACCAACTCATCAAAAGACAGATCTATACAGATAAGGCCATCTGCAAAATTCCTGGTAAATGCCCGTCCTAGGGCAAAGTTTATTAGTTGGTGCTCAAGTACCATCTAGGCTCGCACACCCAGTGCTGAGTCCCACGGCGCAAGGGGACTGTGGCTCCTATCAGAGGGAACTACTGCAGGAAACAGGACACTGAAGCCGCTGCAGAGAGCGCTTCGGCGCAGTCCACAAAGCCTACTATTTAAGCATCTGTCTGAAAATCAACAAAGGCTTTTTATTTTTAGCATTCTGTCAACTGGAATTGTTTATGAAACTACGCAATCCAAGTGACATTCATAATGATAAATCTCTTACAGATTCTTATTATTCCCTTGGCAACCTAACGGGGAATTACGTATAATTATATTCCAATTACTGGACAGTATAGAATGCATATGTTGAGCAGATCTTATTTAACCAGAACTCTGTGCCCTTTTTCTTTTTACAGGGCAGTTTACTGATGCGGGCTCCAGACCATACTGAATTCATTCCTTCAATAGTCACTGAACCCCTGCTTTGCGTTGGGCACGATGGCCTCAGCGAACATAACGAAAGGCTACGGCAGACATGGGGCCCCTGCCCTTCTGAAGCTTCCGGTCTGGTCAACGGAAGACAAAGAAGTGAACAGAATCACTACAATTTCCTGCACAGACGGGAAGCTCCGGGCGAGCCATGCCGCTCTCAGCAGCAGCCGGTCACCGACAGCAGCGCAACAGGGAGTAAGGGCCGTCAAATGGGCAGCAGGGAAGGCTCTCCGGGGCGTCAGCTGCCTACGTCATCACCAAGACACCACCCAGGAACCGTGATGCGGATTCAGTGAAAAAGGGCAGTACGTTCAGGACTGAGGTAACTTCAAACGAATTTCATCCTGATGAGATCACATGCAGGTAATTTGTAATATTTATACTGGCTGCCTGTATAGAGGAGGTTGCCCAAAACAGAGGCCTTTGGATAAATGAAGTGTCCTTTTTATTTAAATCTCTTTCGGCATGAAAAAAACCACACACACACACAAAACATTTTTTCCTAACTAATCAATTTTAATGGCCCCTATCTTAAAATACTGATTCCCAACACATTTCACTAGCAGGCTCTCGCAACACAACTGCAGCTTTAGAAAAACCATCCGTCTTCCTCAGTCTCCCACGTGATGCCCACACACCACTGAGCGACTCGTATCCCCCAGCAAACGCACTCCTCCCACCATTCCCTCTCCTGGACCACCCTTCTAACTGTCACCGTGGAGCTAATTCCTACTCAGATTCAGCCTCAGGAGACACTGTCTCCTGAAGCTGTTCAGAGCTCTTTTCTCTTCACTTCCCCACTCAAGGCTGAGTCAGATTCTCCCCTATGTATGTTTCCCTTGCTTCCTGGGCACATCTCTGTTACAGTACTGTGAGGACGGTTCTGTGACCATCTGTTTTGTGTTAAGACTGTGCCTCTTAAGGGCAAGAAGATCTTAGTTTTGAAATAGCAAGTAACACAATAACTTGCCGATATAAATATCTGTTAAATGCATGTAATGGAAAGACTGCTTTGCTTCTAGCTACTCAAGATACAAATCAATATAACAGCAAAGTATTTTATAATATGTCAGTTTATAGACAGTTAAAATTATGACATCTATTCAGCCATTGTTAATATAACAAGAATGGTTTGCACGACATCAGTGTAACCTGGCAGCCAAGGAGAGCGGACTAGACTGCATGTGCCTGAACAGTGACGACTTCACTGTACTAGTCAGTGGGGGCTGTAGACACCACTGAGTGAGCACGGGGACTGTGTGGTCATCACAATCAAAATGACTGAGTAGAGCAACAGATCTGCATTGAATTTTGCATCACACTTGAACATTCCCTCTGTGGAAACTCTCTGGATGACTCAGAAGGCTGCAGCTGTGGGAGACTAACTGGTGACTGGCAGCTTCATCAGGACACCACCCCACTCAGGCATCACATTTGGGGGCAGAGTTTTTGGTGAAGCATCCAATCACCCAGGTGACGCAGCCCAGCTACAGCCCAGATTTGGTGCGCTGCAACTTCTGGCTTCCCCCCAAACTAAAATCACCTATGGAAGGGAAGAGATTTCAGACTGTTGATGAGATTCAGGAAAACACGATGGGGCAGCTGATGGCAACTGGGAGAACTGTGTGAGGACCCAAAATGTCTACTTCGAAGGGGACTGAGGTATCACTGTCCCGTGTACAATGTTTCTTGTATCTTGGTCAATCAATCTCTGCTTTTCAAGTTACATGGCTAGATACCTTCTGCACAGACCTCATACTTAGTGTCTTAAACAGCTAATTCTATCCTTTTAACAAAGCAAAAAGTAGCTTAAATACTTTATTATATGCTTTTATCATAGCCAATAAAAATTTACCACCCACTATAACTATGCAGTAATTTCTTAGACTTCACTTCTATTGAACAAACTTTAACTTCTCTTAAATCCAATAAATTTCTTGAGTCAGATATAGAAATTTTAATAGCTACTTACTCATATTGAGTGTTAAGATAATCTTCTGTACCTCACTGGACAAAACCTAAGTGTTTTTGTGCTACATTGGTAATTAGAGATGGAAAAAACAGTGGTGAACATGAGATACAGACCATCTAACTCAAGAGGCTTACAGACTAGGCCAGCAACAGATTTGTGAAACAGCTTGAGCCTTACAAAGCTGACTCACTGACTGCATACACTCTCAAATGGATTAGCCTGTAAAAAGTTGGTGTAAAATGAAAATTGATATAGACACATAGAGTGGTAAATAGGATGTGGGGGGATGGCAATAAAGGTGTTTTCAAACATCAATAAAATTTTAGGTATTTTTAAAGATCGATCTAGAGCTTCTTATGCACTTAATTTTTTTGAGTTATTTCTAGGTGTTTCCCAGAATTTAGCCACTTAATGGTATGAATTGCTTTCTGCAAAATTCTTAAAAAATATTGTTCAAAGTATAGAATAAGAAAGTTGACAATCAGTATCATGAGATAAAATTATTTTTATATAATGCATTAATATCGAAAAACAAACTATTCTTTCAATTTGGTAAACTTTTAAAGAGCTTTTGTTGGAAAAAATATTTGTGAAAGACAAAGTTAAATTTGAAAGCTTAGGAACAACTAGCGTAATAAAGCTGAAAGTTTTTGAAATTAACAAATGAATCTAGAAGAAAAGTGAGAGGAGCCTCAGGAGAGACGAGCTCTCCCCCCTCCCACAGAGAACGCCCAGCAGCTGCGGTGTGAGGCAGCCCTCCGAGACACACAGAGGGTGAGCCCCTCCGAGACACAGAGGGTGAGCCCCTCCGAGACACACAGAGGGTGAGCCCCTCCGAGACACAGAGGGTGAGCTCAAAGTTTCCCCCTACCTTGGTCAGCGCTGTGCGGGGTGATGGGAAGAAAATGGCCATCAGCTATGTTAGTAGTGGCTTTTAACATCTTTAATAAAGGACTTGCTCTAACAACAACAAAAAAAGGGGCAAATATAGTGCTACATTAAAAAAATATGTCTCTAATATGTCTCCAAAAGCTGTCTTCAGCTTATGTCTTCAATATTCTCACAATATGTTTTCAAGATTCTCTCAAACCACAAAACAATTCAAAACAAGTTCAAAGACGTGTTGAAAAATCACCATTTAAAGGAGTGACTTTTCTATCTGTAGTGTTTTGTTCATTTTTCAGTTTATTAAAAGATAAATATCCACGAAGATTCAATGCCTGAAAATAGGGAAGAAATTTAAACCAGAACTATCAGTCGTAACTCTGAACAACTTGAGAAAGATGAAACACTTTTTAGTAGAAGAACAGATGAGATCTTTGTATGCTGACTACACCATGTCAAGTGACTAAAGAGAGATACACATAAATACCCTTACCATTTAGATGTACGGCTGGATTAGGCATTTGCATGATATGATGTAAGACTTAAATGTTCAAAGACATGGGGATGGGAGGGCGGAGGACAGTCATGAAAACCACTTTTGAAGATGCAACCTACTTGTAATTATCATCTTCCACAAACTTCTGCAGTTCTTCTATGTACTGAACGGAATTCAGATATTTCTGTACGTGAGGCAATATGGGGATGTCTAGGCAAGAGATAATAAATAATTAATTACCTTATAAAGTTTACCTCAACCAGAATTTTTAAAGTTAAGCTGAGAAAATAATTTTGAAAGGTAAATGAAGGCCATGGTGGTACCCAAATTTAAGTTAATTCTAAAAGGACATTACTGAGAAAAATTTTATTTAATGTAAGACTGAAAGTAATTTATGATATTACAGTTGCATGTTGTTCGTATAGATAATTTAACACTGTAATATGGTGTTATGTTTAAAGAATTGAGAAAAGGATAAAATGACACTGTTTGCATCTGTAATAGTGTCAACAATATAAATAAAAACAAAAAAATGAGACTGTTTAACTTTCAGTAGGATACACCCCTAACCCCAAGTTTTAAGCATATAGTGTAAACTCACTGTTTCATAATCTCATAAAAATTATGTATCAGTAGGCTATATTTATTCCTTATCAAACGGAAAGTATCCAAATATTTTAAAACATTAAAAACAAAAACCTTTCGAATCTTCTGGGCTTGTGCAAGTTGTTTTTAAACATGTGTTTCCCCAAAACATATCTTGGGAAAAACTTGCTTATCTACCCAGTATCAGACTCCAGCAGGCTGGTGAACTGTTACCAGGATCAAGTCTTAGCTCCTCCCCAATGAAAAAGCGTAAGAACTATTTACATAATAGATCAGGGACATCGGATGAAATGAAGATAATAGAAAATAATTTTGTAAATTATGTTAGCAAAGCTGTTACAGAATAGCAAAAGAACAGAGATAAAACTTCAAATTTTAAATATGAAATACTTCAATTCCTTAAAAGCAGGCTCTTAAACGGGACACTAAGTATTAAACAGTGAAATAATGCGACCATTACAGTCCCTTGTGCTGAGACGGTGCCCCCTGCTGGGTGAAAAGCGGCCGCCAGGCTGTGTGAACAGGTCAGCAAGGTGGCCACAGGTAAGGGCTCAGCATCATCCCGCAGAAACTCACCATATTCACACGACTGCTGCAGATCAGAAATTATCCGAAGGATGTTATTCATCAAATTTGATCTTTGCTCATTTTCTAGAATGCTGCCAGTTGACGGGTAGGCCGAGTCGATGTATGTTAAGTCGGACAAATAGATACCTGAAAGGGAAGGAGACAAACCAGCGTTTTCCTACTTGCAGCTTGGAAGAGCAGGACCAAGGGAAGGGGAGGAGAGCGAGCGTGTGGCTGTGTTTCAACCCACGCCACAGTGAGAAGGCGCCGTTACCAACACACCGCGGGCCTGTACAAACACGGCCCCTGAGGCCTAGATTCCCAGGGAGCTGGGGTCCACGTGTACATCCAGGGTGGGGCAAAGGAGGTTTACAGCTGTTCGTATGGAAAATGCAGTCATTCACGAGTAATAATACAAGAACAGACTGCCTCTGGAGTACTCGCACCTGTAAACATGCTTTTGCCCCTCTCGGTAACATGATGCTGCAGATGTCCCCTCCTGATACCACTCCCTCCAAAGTGTGGTTGGAGGCTAGAGAAACTCCCAGCACCCACGGGACCTAATGCCAAGATGCTGAGCTCCTGAACTGGCTCAGCCTCTGACTAGCTGTCTATGATGGAGACGGCTATTTCAATCTCTGAACCTCAGTTCTTACGTCTGTACCCCTAGTACCCTATTTCCCAAGCCGACGTGCAGCTTGGAAGCCGCGGTTAGGTTAGCAGGCTAGCCAGTACCTGGGGCATGGGGTAGCTATTAGCATTAGTCCTACACCCCCTGGTCTTGGGTTGGTAAGTATCCCTTGAGTCTGAACTCAACACATTTGAAACTGTCTCCTTCTGGTAGAACATCTTGTTCTGAAGACTCACAGCTGGATTTCTAACACCGTCCATGCGACTACAAACTGCAGGTAAGTCTGCTCTGCCCCCGCTCACCATCTCTGCACCAACAGAATAATGTAGTTGCACTCGTTTTGGATAGGCAAGGTCAGTCATTTTAAAATATTTCATGTAAAGTATATAAGACAACTATAGTTGGAAAAACACACTCTCCTGCTTTACCTTGTAATGACTCCACGTTCATGAAGTCTCAGGGTAAACGCGACCAAAATGATGTCCGGCGCCCCCCCCCCCCCACACCTTCCCAAAAGTAAGTCCTGGTTTTCTTGTGCCGTTTCTTCCATCCTGAGCATCTCCTAGACTCATCTCTGCTCATCTGTTATATCTTATATCCAGGTCGGCGTCAACAGTTCTTTAGTTTTCTCACGGATCCCAAGGAAGGAATCTGGGAGTGGTCTAGCCCCCCGGCCCTTTTATAAATGAGGAATCTCAGGTGCGCAGACGGAAAGGATGCGCCCGATGCCGCAGGAACCGCTGGTGACACAGCTGGGTCTCCGAGTGTACGCTGGTGCCCCGTATTTTTTACTTTAAATAACTCATTTTTTGAATTACAGCAGACATACATTTCCCCAAGTACTTTTTTTTATCACACTGTTATAAAGTCACACAGTATCTAAACCATTCACTAGATAATTTTTATGATTTTATAACTCCTTGTTTTAAAATTTTCCCATACGTGTATCTCATCTGTTCAAGATGATAAACTCGTTTAGGGCACTTGCTCTGCCTTTCACTCTAAAGGGATGAACATCCTGTGCAGGGCCTTGACGACAGGCGGTTAACGCGACCGAAAGCCGGCGTGGTGACGTGCTCATCGCCCCAACGCCATCCCTCTTCCGGCCGGTGCACCCCAACAGTGTTCCTAAGTCACCTACTGTCGACAGTTCTCTTCTTTAGAGATGCTCAGCTTCTTTTTGATGACTTCGAATGACTCTGAGCCCAGCTCCACTCCTCTTCCTCTTCCTCGGAGGAAGAAGAATCCCTCCCTTCCTTCCAAACCTAAACTGTGACTTTGATTGTGAAACACCCACCGTTGCCTCCACTATCGCTCCTCTCCACGCGCCCCTTTTCCAGAGCCAAGCACACACTTAGGTCTCCTCTAGGTAAGGAAACAAGAAATCAAAGCAACTTTCCTTCAAATCTGACCTCTTCTTCAAGATGGGACCCTTATCGCTCTCCCTTCAACAAACTCATTGAAATGGAAACAGTGCTTATTCACCCATGCTGTTAAATGCAGCTCTAATTCCTTAAATTGAGAATAAACTAACATGTAACTGTATCACAAACTCATCTGACAGACTTTTGAGTTACTCCCCCGCCCCCATGTTGCCATAGACACAGCAAGACAGTACCCACATTTAAAAAAAAGTTTTAAAAAGATTTTATTTGTTATTTTTTTTAGAGAGGGAAGGGAGGGAGAAAGAGAGAGAAACATCAATGTGCGGTTGCTGGGGGCCGTGGCCTGCAACCCAGGCATGTGCCCTGACTGGGAATCAAACCTGCGATGCTTTGGTTCGCAGCCTGTGCTCAATCCACTGAGCTAACACATTTTTTTTTTAAATCTTTCGATTACAGTTCACATTTAACATTATTTTGTATTAGTTTCAGGTATACAGCATAATGGTCATCCAATCATATACTTTAGAAAGTGTTCCCCTGATATTTCAACTACCCGCCTGGCACCATACTTAGCGTTTACAGTACTACTGACTACACTTCCCATGCTGTACTTTACATGCCCGAGACTATTTTGTAACTGCCAATCTACATTTCTTAATCCTTTCACCTTTTCCACCCAGCCCCCCTTCTCCCACCCCTCTGGCTACCATCAGTCTGTTCTCTGTATCTGTGAGTCTGTTTCCATACACATGAGTAAACTCATACGATGATATTTGTCTCTGACTTATTTCACTTAGCACGATGCCCTCTAGGTCCATCCATGTTTTCGCAAATAGTAGGTTTTCTTTCTTTTTAACAGCCCAGTAATATTCCATTGTATAGATGTACCACAGCTTTTTTATCCACTCGTCTATCGATGGGCACTAGGGTTGCTTCCATACCTTGATTATTGCAAATAATGCCACATATATCCTTTAAACGACTGTTTTGGGTTTCTTTGGCCACGTTGCTTTTTAAAACTGTATCAATTCATACTTTCATTGACAGTGTGTAGTTTCTATAGATCCACACTTGTGCTAACACTTGATATTATCAGTTCCTTAATTTTTGCCAATCTTGTGGGTATAAAATATCTCATGGTGTTTTAATAATGAGGTTAAGCATTTATAATTCTACGAACACTCCTTTGTGCATTTTTTCCTCTGAGTTGTCTTCTTGCTGGTTTCTGAGTTCTCCATACACTGTAGAAACTATCCCCCGGGGCAGTTAAATTTTATCCGGTTACTGCTCTTCAAGCTACCATACAATCTGAAGTCGGGATCATCTCGCTGCTGAAACTCAGTCCGGAAAAGGCGTCAATGACCTCCTCATTATTACAGCTTTAACTGTCTCTCTCGGTCTCGTCCTGCTGTCTCTCTGTACTATTTTCACTATTCCCTCGGCTCCCTGGTCTTCAGTGCTAGAACCTTCCAAGCGCCTCACATCCCCTCCGTTCTCGTTTTCCCTCGTGCTCCCCGGAAGCTGGCATTCCCCATGGTCGCGCCGTTAACCTTCCCACTCCACAGGCACCTCTTCTGGATGACGTTGCTCCTGCAGCTTCAACGATCACCTAACGATTTCCCAAATCTCTACGGAACTGAGCTCCTGACGTTCATTTTCAATTTTACATGCCAAACTAACCATTATTTGTTCCCGAACGCCTGCCATTCCAATTTCCTACGGTGGCTGGTGATCTTCCTAATTGCTGAAGCTCCAAAGCGCAAAATCGCTGCAGTAAAAAACGACTCGGGAGGAACACACTGCTCCCAGTCTGCCCGGATTAAACCACGAGCGAATAAAACACGCCCCCCGCAGGACCGTGTCACGCAGTGCACCACGTAAATCAGAGACCGGAGGCTGGCAACCCATCCGTCCCGACGTTTTCAGAATCAGGAAATATCCTAGGAAACACCTAAACGACGTCCTTTCCCTAAAAAAACGGGCGGATCCTGCAGCAACGAGGTAGAGCTGGGAAGGGTGCAGACCCCGTAACCATGATGATGTCAGTTCGTCCCAGCCCTCATTTTCCAGTTGTCGTGTCGCTTCTGGTTCACTTTGCTTATTGTCCCGTCACCCGCTGCACTCGTGCGAGCGCTGTCTTTGCAGGCCCCTGAGTGTGCAGCCCCCGGAATGCCTGTGTATGGCACGGGAATGTGGAGACAGAGGTGGAGGCTAAGCTGACCGTGAATGAGGACGTGGATGATGGTGGCAGTATCAGAAAGAGAGAGACAAGCTACAGCAACGGGGGGGGGGGGGGGGAGCACGTGGTGTGCAGAGAAAGTGCGAGCCGGAAGGCGGTTGCCTGGCAGCAGCCACCAGCCGTGGCCTAGGCTCTGGGGTCAGACTCGAACCCCCCAGCCTCCCACCTGGTGCTCAAGGACGAGGCACCGAAGCCTACACTTGTGTTTCCTCAGCTACTGAGTTACTTAATTACACTTCCTGATTTAATAAAATATAACAGCACAGTTAGTGCTCAGCAACTAGTACATCTCTCCAGTACCCTGACTTCACAGCAGCAGAACCGGGCCAGCGGTAGGTGAAAGTGCCTTACCCAAGTTTACGCAGCCAGTGGCTGGGCGAGTGGGAGGAGGGAGGGGCGCGCTGTCAGAACCCTCTCTTCTTTAACCCTCGCCTGAGGGTGAGTCTGTTGATTTTAGAGAAAGAGGAAGGGGGAGAGAGAGAGGAGTCCCAACCCGCACGGAACTGCAGCCTGCATCTGTGCCCTGACTGGGATCAAACCCACAACCGAAAGTCCCTGGGATGATGCTCCAACCAACTGAGCCACCTGACCACGGCAGAACTCTCTTTTCATCCCCACTCAGGCCAAGGTTATGTTTTCATTTAAATCACAGCACAGCAAGTCCAAGAATCACCTCATTCAGACAAGAGCTGCCATGTTGTAGAACAGGAGGAAGACACGACATAGCATCCAAGTTTGTTTAAAAACTGCTAAATTTCTGTAAGAATTTAATACACAGATTTCCACTTATTTTCGGTATTATATATATAAAATGAGCAGATTTATCTTAAGAAACATTATACAGTAAGAAAAATATATTGCAACAACCTCAGGTTTCTTACAAGGTTCAAAC